AGAAATGTTAAAAGAAATTTTTCACAGGGAAGGAAAATGATATAGGTCATAAATTTCGAGCTACATAAAGAAAGAACAAGGTGGGTGCAGTGGCTCATGCCTGTAATCCCAGCACTTTGGGAGGCTGAGGCAGGCAGATCACCTGAGGTTGGGAATTCAAGACCAGCCTGGCCAGCATGGTGAAACCCTGTCTCTACTAAGAATACAAAAATTAGCCAGGCATGGTGGCGCGTGCCTGTAATCCTAGCTACTCAGGAAGCTGAGGCAGGAGAATCGCTTGAACTGGGAAGGTGGAGGTTGCAGTGATCCGAGATTGTGCTACTGCACTCCAGCCTGGGTGACAGCACAAGACTCCATCTCAGAAAAAAAAAAAAAAAGGAATAAGTGAAAGTAAAATAAAACTTTTTTTTCTTATTCCTAATTGATCTAGTAACCATTTATTCAAAATAATAATGTATTTGACGATTGTAGGTTATGGATAAGTTAAATGAATGACAACAATGATACAAGGCATGAGAGGGAAGAACTAGGAATACTTTGTTTTAAGGTAACTGCACTACCTGGAAAGCAGTACAATGGTACTTGAAAGTGGACTTGAATTAGTTATAAATGTATATTGCAAACTCTAAGGCAATCAGCAAAAAAAGTTTTTAAAAAAATATAATTCAAGTGTACTAAGAAAGGAGAGAAAATGGAATTACATAAGATGCTAATAACACCAGATAGTAGCTTGAATCCACAGGAAAAAAGGAAGAGAACCATAAATAGTCAATAAGAAGATTAATATTACAAACTCTATAAATATAAACTTGGCTCTGTTTTCTTCTCTCAGCTTCTTTAGAAGTTTTAAAATACTTAAAATCTTGTAACATAAAATTATAACAAAGTATTGTTGGGTTTATAAGATATATAAGTGTAATCTGTATAACAATAATAGCACAAAAAAAGGAGGAGGGAATAGAGCTATATGAAAGTTACATTGATATATGTCACTGGAATTAAATTATTATAAATCTGAAGTATTATAGATTCTGGTAAGATGTGTATTGGAAGCTCCAGAGCTACCACTAAGAAAATAACTTTTTTTTTTGAGATCAAGTCTCACTCTGTTGCCTAGGTTGGAGTGCAATGGTGCGATCTTGGCTCACTGTAATCTCCACCTCCCAGGTTCAAGCGATTTTCCTGCCGCAGTCTCCTGAGTAGCTGGGATTACAGTCATATGTTGCTGTGTCTGGCTAAGTTTTGTATTATTCATAGAGAAGGGATTTCCCCATGTTGGCCAGGCTGGTTTTGAACTCCTGACCTCAAGTGATCCACCCCCACCACCTCGGCCTCCCAAAGTGCTGGGATGACAGGCGTGAGCCATTGGGCCCGCCAATAAAATATCTTTAAAAAATAGTAACCAATAATTAAAGAAATTCAAATGTTAAACTAGAAAAGATTAACTTAATGAAAAACCCGTGAAGGAGGAACAAAAGAATAAAAAAGACAATATGACGTATTAAAAAAACAAAAAGGCTGGGAGTGGTGGCTCTTGCCTGCAATCCCAGCACTTTGGGGGAGCTGAGGAGGGAGCATTGCTTGAGCCCAGGAATTTGAGACCAGCCTGGGAAACATAAAGAGACCCTGTCTCTACAAAAAAAGAAAAAAAAATTGCAGGGCAAGGTGGCACAGCTCTGTGGTCCCAGGTATTTAGGAGACTGAGGCAGGAGGATGGCTTGAGCCCAGGCAGTTGAGGCTGCAGTGAGACCCCTCCATCACACTGTATACAAAACAGGGCTGGGTGTGGTGGCTCACACCTGTAATCCCAACATTTTGGGAGGTCAAGGCAGGTGGATCACCTGATGTCAGGAGTTCGAGACAAGCCTGACCTACATGGAGAAAGCCCATCTCTACTAAAAATACAAAATTAGCCGGGCATGGTGGTGCTTGTTTGTAATCCCAGCTACTCAGGAGGCTGAGGCAGGAGAATCACTTGAACCCAGGAGGTGGAGGTTGCTCCATTGCACTACAACCTGGGCAACAAGAGTGAAACTCCGTCTCAAAAAACATCAAAATAGATCATAGACCTGAATGTAACAGCAAAAATTATGAAACTCTTAGAAGAGTAAATCTTCATGATCTTGGGTTAGGAAATATGGGTTACATATGCACCAAAAACATAGTGAAAAAAGAAAAAATATGTAAATTGAACTTGATCAAAATTTAAAACTCTGGGCTTCAAAGGATGATAGCAATAAAATAAAAAGAAAACCCTCAGAATGGGGGAAAATATTTGCATGTCATATACTTGAAAAGGGCTTTGCATTCTGAATATATAAAAAAACTCTTATAACTTAATAATGAAAAGACAAATAAAATGCTAAAGGGTTTGAATGGACAGTTCTCCAAAGAAGTTATCCAAATTGCAAAAACATATGAAAAAAATGCTCAACATCATTATGATCAGGGAAGTGAAAATAAATAAAAACTCCAGCAAGATACTACTTACACAAAAGTGAGTGTTAGCAAGGATGTAGAGAAACTATAAACCTTACATGATACTGGTGGGAATTTAAAATGGTGCACTACTGTGGAAAAAACTTGGCATTTCCTTGAAATGCTAAACATTAGCATTACCAAATGATACAGCAATTCTACTTCTAGATATATAACCAAGAGAAATGAAAACATAGGTCGATACGAAAACTTGTAGCAGCATTATTCATGATAGGCAAAGAGTAGAAACAATCCAGATATCCACCAATGACAGAGAGGTAAAAAACACGTTATAGCCATTATAGCCATACAATGGAATATTATTCAGCCATAAAAAGCAACAAATTGTTGATATATGCTACAATAGGGATAAAGCTTTAAAACATTATTGAGAGTGAAAGAAGTTACTCACAAAAGGCTGCATATTGTGTAATTTCATTTGTATGAAAAGTCCAGAATAGGCAAATCCATAGAGATAGAAAGTAGACTGATGGCTGTCTAGGGCTGGAATGTTGGGAGCAGGGTAGGAGCAGGGTGGAAGCAGGGTTGCAGAGACCAAAGGGGAGTGGTTTTGAGTATAGAGTGTCTTTTTGGAATGATAAAAATGTTCTAGGTTATGATTGCACAACTCCATATAGAGTAAGAACTATTGACCTGTGCAATTTAAAGTGGTGAACTGTATGGCGTGGTGTGTAAATTATATCTGAGTAAAGCTTGTATGTGTGTATACTTATATACAAAATATTGAATGGTGATAAGTACTATGGAGAAAAATAAAGTAGGGAGGGAAAAAGAAGAGTTGGGGCTGAGGGTTGGAATTTTAAATAGGGAAATAATGTTAGGGTTCACTGGGAAGGTATCATGTGAATAAAGACTTTCTGGAGGAAGCAAGTGGGTCAGGCGGTTATTTAGGAAAAGAGCTTTCTGGGCTTCCTGGGTTTGGATCTGGGCTCTGCCATTGTTCATATGTATGACCTTGGAAAAGTTATTTAATAATCCTGTACCTCATTTTACTTTATCTGTAAAAAATAATAAATAGTATCTATTTCAAAAGGTTATTATGTGGATTAAATGAATTAAGAAAGTAAAACTTGTAGAACAGTACACTAGGTTAAATGCTTTATAGTTATTTTCATCAGTTCCTACTGCAAGCTCACAGAACTTGCATGCTCAGATGGAAGCATGCCAGGAATGTTGGAGGAAGCAAGGAGGCTAGGTGGGGCTGGTGCAGAAGAAGCAAGAGTGAGGATTGTAGGGCTTGTGGCTTTAGCTTTGTGAGATGGGAAATAAATGGAGGGTTTTGAGCAGAGAAGAGAGAAGATCTGATTCATTTTTAACACCGGCACTCTGGCTCCTGTCCAGCACACTGAAAGAGGACAAGGACACAATCAAGGAAACCAGCTCTGAGCTATTGCCGTAATACATGTGAGAGACGGTGGTGGTGGTGGTAGAAGTGGCCAAATTTTGGTTCCAATACGAAGACAGATACAACAGGATCTATTGAAAGATAGAATATTGTGTGTGAAAGAGACTGCAGTTTTGATCTGAGCAATTGTCAGAATTACGTTCCCATACATTGAGATGAAGGAAGTCTGAGAGGGATGAGAGGGAGTCCTTTTCACTTTTTTTTTGATAGGGGTGGAGTGGGGTTGTGGGAGATTGATGGGGGATCAAGATTTCAATTCTGGACATGATTAACTTGAAATGCCCATTACACATTCAAGTGGACTAGAAGAGGATGGACGGATTATTGGTTCTTTGACCAACATGTATGAAAATCCCATTCTGTGCCAGGCTCTGTGTAGGCTCTGGAGATACATGCGAGAATATTAACAAGCTCCTTAAGAGCTCACTTTCTTTCCTTCTTTTCTTTCTTTCTTTTTTTTTCTCTCCTTTTTTTTTTTTTTTTTTTTTTAGAGATGTAGTTTCACTCCTGTTGCCTTGCGTGCAACAGGCTTGCGTGCAAGGGCGCAATCTCGGCTCACCGCAACCTCCGCCTCCCGGGTTCAAGCGATTCTCCTGCCTCAGCCTCCCAAGTAGCTGGGATTACAGGCATGCGCCACCATGCCCGGCTAATTTCGTATTTTTAGTAAAGATGGAGTTTCTCCATATTGGTCAGGCTGGTCTTGAACTCCCGATCTCAGGTGATCCGCTCACCTCGGCCTCCCAAAGTTCTGGGATTACAGGCGTGAGCCACTGAGCCTGGCAAGAGCTCACTTTCTAATGGTGAGACAGGTCATGAGGAAATTAACAATCAAACGAAGTCAGGTAGGTAAGGTCTTTAGGTCTTCAGATGAGACAAAATGTACAATTGCTATTATTGATTTTAATATTCCGGATATTGCAAGCGCCAGAAGACAGGCCTTGAGATCTAGGAGCTGCTCCTTCTGCCAACCCGGGGCTACCAGGTAGGTATCTCCGCATCAGTGCGGGCCACATTTCTAGCGCCGCAGAATGGCAGCATTGCGCACGCGCGGCCTCAGTCTAGTGTCCTAGGAGATGGACTCCGAAAGCCTCGGCGCAGGCGTAATTCAAGGGCGTAGGGAGCCTGAGACAGGCATTGGGGCGGGGCGAGCTCGGAATGCGCCTGCGCACTGGGCACTTGCGCCGGAGGAGCCGCAGTCTGGAGAGCGCCAGGGCGGTGTTTCGGTTGTCTCTGGCTAGCCTTTGTGCGCACCCGGTGTCGTTGGGCTGCACCGCGGGCGGGTTCGTCCGCCGGGCACGGGAGGGGGCCACGATGCCGGTGAGGAGAGTCGCTTTGCCTCTGGGGTTTCTTCTCATCCCAACTGCCTGGCCTGGGGGCGCGGCAGTTGCCATGGAGGCGCGGAGCAGGCGGGCGGCCTGGGTGGGGCGGGGCAGGCCCGGCCGTGCGGTCTGGGTGGTTGGAGAGCCTGGCTGTTCAGCCCCGGAGCCGCGGGGGTCCGGCTGGCCTCGAGAGGGGCCTAGGGGCAGGCCCTGCCGCCCTCGTCGCTGCTGCATCCCGTGGGGCCTGCACCGCTTATCAAAAAGGCGCTGTGCTAGAGGATGCGCTCTGGCTCGCATCCCTGCCTGCTGAGCGGGACGTCTTGGGCTGGCCGCGGAGCGTCTCTTTGATGCCCCGCACCTCGTGGAGCCTTTGCGCCGAAGAAGCTCAGGGAGGCGACGAAGCGAAGGCTGCCTGCCCCTTTTCCAGGCCGCAGACTTCGACTCTCCTAGCCTCGAGGTAGCTGTCAGTCCTCTTGAGGCGCTTTAGCTTATGGTGCAGAATGAAACCCGAAGGGGTCTTTGTGTGGTGGTGGTGGTGTGTTTATCTTACAAGATTTCACAGACTGTTATCGTGAACTTAATAATGGAGCCTTGTAAGACCCGTTATTAGGGGTCATGGAGGAAAATTGAGCCATGGCCCCTTATTTAGTGGTTGTGAGGCCTCAGATAATCTGTGTGGGTACTTAGTTCCCACATAAACTTTTCCTCCTGGCTTCTTGTTAGCCACGTGAAATAAGATAATGCACAGGAGACTAGAAGGACAGTGCTTAACATTTAGGGTTAAATGCTCTATATTTGTTCCTGTTCATTGCTTTCAAGTTTTTAATTCAATAAATATTGGGCACCGACCACATGCTAGGCCCTGAAGATACAATATTGAGCAAAACCAATCAGGTTCTTGAACTTGGAAAGAGAGAGGCTTGCCTTCTTGGGCAGAGGTGAAAACCATACATACTTACCGAGATGAGACACATAACCTTAATGAATGAAGTGGTTGGCTATCCTGCAATAGAGAGAAGTAGATCCTAGTAAATTGGAAAGTATTGCCATGTGAGAATGATGGTCTGCAGATGATATCAGAGTATTTTTTTTTTCCTCCCAAGAAGAGACTTTAGGAATTGTTTTAGCAACTAATTCAAAAGCGCTTAAAATACTATGAACCAAACAAAGGAAATTTGTGGACCGAATTTAGCCTCTTGACTACCTGTTTGCAACTTCTGGTGTAGACGGAGAAAGACATTAATCAAATAAGGAGCAAGTGAAAGTAAAATTGTGTCCAGGAAGGGTAGAGCAAGGGGCTCTCTGAGCCTATAAGAGTATTTGAAGTAGTCAGGAAGTCTTCCCAGGTGAAGTGGCTGTTGAGTTCTGAAGGATAAGTAGATGTTAACTAAGTGAAGAGGGGATTGAAAAAGGTTCTAGGCAGAAGGAACAGCACATGGAAAAGGCCAGTGGTGAGGAGCATGATGACAAGAAAAGGCCAAGAAGCTCAGTGTGGCTGTGGCATGGATGAGCCAGGCAGAGTATTTTGTGAAATAAGCCCAGGAAGCAGACAAGGGTGGAAGCCAGATCTTACAGACAACCTTAAGGATTTCTGGTTTTTGTCTGACATCTATCGGAAACCACTGAAGAATTTTTAAGTAGGAGGGTGACATGATTAGATTTGTGTTGACACTGACTGCTATGTGGAGAACAGGCAGTAGGGGAATGTAATTAGATTCAGGAGTATAGTTAGGAGTCAGTAATTCAGGACCAAGATGATGGTGATTTAGACTAGGGTGATGAAGGCAGAGATAGAAGTGTACTGTATTGATATAATCTGTTACTTGTCAATGACATCGGTTTATGTGTCTCTCTTTAAGGCTTAGAAGAGAATCTGAAACAGTAGGAATTTAACAAGTATCTGTTCAACTAAATTTTCCTTTTCGATAATAGGATTGTGTTTCATCATATTTTCTTAATCATAAAATTTCAGAAATGGCCAGGTATGGTGGCACGCATCTGTCATCTCAGCACTTTGGGAGGCCAAGGTGGGTGGAATCACTTGAGGTCAGGAGTTTGAGACCAGCGTGGCCAACATAATAAAACCCCATCTCTACTAAAAATAAAAAATGAGCCAGGCATGGTGGCGGGCACCTGTAATCCCAGCTACTGGGGAGGCTGAGACGGCTGAATCACTTGAACCTGAGAAGTGGAGGTTGCAGTGAGCCAAGATCGCACCACTGCTCTGCAGCCTGAGTGACAGAGTGAGACACTGTCTCAAAAATAAGAAAAAAAATTTCAGAAATGGAAACTTTATATATACAAATGCTCATAAGTTGAGGTCATACTAAGGCATTTTTCTTTGCCATTTAAACTTTTTTTCCATCTTTATCTTATTGTCTTCTGTAGAGAAGCCATTTTACAGTTGCATTATAGGAAATTATAAAAACCATTTTACAGATGCATTATAGGAAATACAACTAGAAGTCTCAGGGGAAACAAAGGATCTACTATATTCTTAAGTTAAAGTTGTTAACTATGTTCACATGTGTTTCCTACAGGCAGAAAACTCAGGGTCAGAGACTTTGTGTAGAAAGACAATCTATAATATACTGATTCAGTTTCTGCTTGTACAGCTTTTGCCACAAATGTAAACTAGACTTTCTCTCCCTTCTATTATATTTTAAAAGAAACTTTTTTCCTTTTTGTACCTTTTAATAAACTTTTCGTCTACGTGTAAGAGCTTTAATTGCATTTAACAAATACTTATGAAGTGTTTAATGTGTGCAAGGCACTAAGGTGGCAAAGTAGCCTTTTAAAATTTGTAAATTTAATTTGTTGAGAGTAAAAATAACTGTTCTTTTCATTATTTGTAAATATCTCCAACAGATCAATAAATCAGAGAAGCCAGAAAGCTGCGATAATGTGAAGGTTGTTGTTAGGTGCCGGCCCCTCAATGAGAGAGAGAAATCAATGTGCTATAAACAAGCTGTCAGTGTGGATGAGATGAGGGGAACTATCACTGTACATAAAACTGACTCTTCCAATGAACCTCCGAAGACATTTACTTTTGATACCGTTTTTGGACCAGAGAGTAAACAACTTGATGTTTATAACTTAACTGCAAGACCTATTATTGATTCTGTACTTGAAGGCTACAATGGTAAGTGAGTATACAGTTTACTTTTTAAAAAACACCCTTATTGAGGCGTGATTAATGTGCCATGAATTCACCTATTACAGCTTTGCAGTTTGGTGAGTGTAGTAAATATATACAGTTGTGAAACCATCATCTCAATCCAGCTTTAGAACACTCCTGTCATGCCTAAAAGTTACTTTATCCCCGTTTGCAGACCCACCCCCAAGCAACCATTGATCTGCTTTCTGTCTCTATAGTTTTGCCTTTTCTTGAAATTTCGTATCAGTCATATCATATAATATGTCATCTTTTTTATCTGTTTTTTTCTTCCACATCAAATGTTTTTGAAGTTTATCCTGCTAGTATTTTCATAGGGATTGTGTTGAATTGTTATTCTAACAGTAATGAGTCTTCCAATTCATGAAAGTGATACTTCTCTCCATCTGAAACATTGAAACATTAATTAATTAATTTTGGACAAGGTCTTGCTCTGTTGCCCAGGCTGGAGTGCAGTGGTGTGATCATAGCTCACTGCAGCCTTGAACTTGGCTGAAGCTATCCTCTTGCTTCTGCCTCTTGAATAACTAGAGCTACAGCTGGGCACCACCATGCCTGGCTAATTTTTTTGTTTTTGTAAAGACAGGGTCTTGCTGTGTTGCTTAGTCAGATCTCAAACTCCTAGACTCAAGCAATCTTCTGCTTAGGCCTTTCAAAGCACTGGGATTACCCGTGTCAGCTACCATGTCTAGCTTCTCTCCATTTATTTGTATCTTAATTTCCCTCATCTGTATTTTGTAGCTTTTAGTGTACAAGTCTTGCACTTGTTTTGATTATTCATAAGTTTTTTTATGCTATTGTGACTAGAATTGCTTTCATAATTTCAGTTTTGGATTGTATGTTACTAATATATAGAGACAAAATTGATTTCTTGGCTGGGCATGGTGGCTCATCCCTGTAATCCCAGCTGCTCAGGAGGCTGAGGCAGGAGAACCACTTGAATCCAGGAGGCAGAGGTTGCAGCGAGCTGAGATCGTGCCACTGCACTCCAGCCTGGGTGACAGAACAAGAGTCCTCAAAAAAAAAAAAAAAATTGATTTCTTTAGGTGGCTTTTTTATTGAGATAAAATTAAAATTTATAAATTTATGATTTTAACCATTTTACAGTTTTACAATTCATAGGTTTTTAGTGCATTTATAATGTCGTACAGCTGTCACTGCTGTCTGTTTCCAGGACGTTTCTACCACTCCAAAAAGAAAACCTGTATCCATTAGCAGTCAGTCACTCCCAATCCACTACCACCTCCCTTCTCCCAACCCAGCAACTATTAATTTATTATCTATATCTATGAGTTTGCCTATTCTGGACATTTTCTATAAGTGGAATTATATGCTATGTGGCCTTTTGTGAATGATTCTTTCGCTTACAGAATTGCTTTCATAATTTCAATTTTGGATTGTATGTTACTAATATATAGAGACAAAATTGATTTCTTGGCTGGGCATGGTGGCTCATCCCTGTAATCCCAGCTGCTCAGGAGGCTGAGGCAGGAGAACCACTTGAATCCAGGAGGCAGAGGTTGCAGTGAGCTGAGATCATGCCACTGCACTCCAGCCTGGGTGACAGAACAAGACTCCTCAAAAAAAAAAAATTGATTTCTTTAGGTGGCTTTTTTATTGAGATAAAATTCAAATATATAAATTTATGATTTTAACCATTTTACAGTTTTACAATTCATAGGTTTTTAATGCATTTATAATGTCGTACAGCTGTCACTGCTATCTGTTTCATCCTTATTGTAACATATATCAGCAATTCATTTTAATGAATTTTTATGTCTGAATAATACTGTACAGATATATCGTATTTTGTTTATCCATTTATTGGTGACCATTTGTTGTTCATATTTTCTAGCTATTATAGATAATGTTGTTTCAAACATTCTTTTACAGATTTTTGTGTGAACGTATGTTTAGTTTCTCTTGGGTATATACCTAGGAGTGGAATTACTGGCTCGCATAGTAACTGTTTAATGTTTTGAGGAGCTGCCGAACTTTTCTACGGTGGCTACACCATTTTATATTCCTATCAGCACTGTGTGACGTTTCTGATTTCTCTACATCTTTGTCGGCACTTGTTATTGTCTTTTTGATGATTGCCCTCTCAGTACCCACAGTTGATTTTTGTACATTGACCTTGTATCCTACAACTTTGCTAAACTTGCTTATTAATTCTAATAGTTTTTTTATTTTTTATTTTTGTAAAATTCATAGGATTTTCTACATATAAGAATATGTTGTCTGCAAGTAAAGACAGTTTTTACTTTGTCCTTTCTAATCTTTATGCCTTTAATTTCTTTTTGTTGCCTGATAGCACCTGGAGGCTAGAACCTCCAGGAAATGTTGCCTAGAAGTGGTGAGGTGAGAGTGGACATTTTGGTCTTGTTCCTGATCTTAGGGAAAATACATTCATTCTTTCACCAGTATAATGATATTTGTAGATTTTAACCAATATCCTTTGTAAGTTTGAGAAGTTCCCTTCTGTTCTTAGTTTTCTGAGAGTTTTTTCAGGAATGTATATTGGATTTTGCCAAATTAATTTTTTCTGCACCTATTGAAATTTTTTTTTTAAGTTTGTTAATATGATCAGTTACATTGATTGATTTTTGAATGTGAAACTAGCTTTGCCACTTGGTTATAATGTGTTATTCTGTTCATTTATTGTTGGATTTATTTGCTAAATTAAAAAAAAATTGACATCCATGTTCATGAGGGATCTAAGTATGTAGTTTTCTTCTAATCCCTTTTTCTGGTTTGGGTATTGTTATAATGCTAGTTTTCATAGAATGAGTTAGAAAGTATTTCCTTCTTTTCAGTTTTCTAGGAGAGTTTATCTAGAATTGGTATTATTTCTTAAATGTTTGGTAGAATTTAGTGAAGCCATCTGGGTTTGAAATTTTCTTTGTGGGAAGGTTTTCAACTATAGATTCAATATTATTTATTTTTCTTTTTTAGTCAGGGTCTTACTCTGTGGCACAATCACAGCTCACTGCAACCTCAACTTCCTGGGTTTAAACAATCCTCCTATTTCAGCCTCCCCAGTAGCTGAGACTACAGGTGTGTGCTACCATGACTGGTTAATTTTTTCTGTTTTTTTTTTTGAGACAGGGTCTCACTCTGTTGCCCAAGCTGGAGTGCAGTGGTACGATCATGGCTCACTTTAATCTCTACCTCCTGGGCTCAGGTGATCCTCCCACCTCAGCATGCGGGCAGGTGGGACTGTATGTATGTGCCACCACGCCATACCTGGCTAATTTAATAATTTTATATTTTTGGTAGAGAATAAGAGTCTCACTATGTTTCCTAAGCTGGTCTTGAACTCCTGGACTCAACCAGTTCTCCTACCTCAGCCTTGCAAAGCACTGGGGTTAAAGGCATGAGTTACCATGTCTGGCCAGGTAGCCTATTTTCTGTATTTTTTGTTGTTGTTGGTTTTTTTTTTTTTGAGACAGAGTCTTGCTCTGTTGCCCAGGCTGGAGTGCAGTGGCACAATCTTGGCTCACTCCAGCCTCTGCCTCATGGGTTCCAGTGATTCTCCTGCCTCAGCCTCCTGCATAGTTGGGATTACAGGTGCATGCCACCACGCCTGGCTAATTTTTGTATCTTTAGTAGAGACAGAGTTTCACCACGTTGGCCAGGCTGGTCTTGAACTCCTGACCTCAGGTGATCCACCCACCTCGGCCTCCAAAAGTGCCGGGATTATAAGCATGAGCCACCACGCCTGGCCTGTTTTTTCTTAAGTGAGGTTTGGTAGCTTGTCTTTAATGGAATTCATTTCATCTAAGTTGTCAAATTAATTGGCAGAAAGTTGTTTGTACTATTTCCTTATTATTCCTTTAGGATGTTGAATGTAGTGGTATAACTTTTCTCACTCGATGTTGGTGACTTACATCTTTTCTTTTTTTCCTGATTAGTCTGACTAGTGGTTTATCAATCTTACTGATCTCCGAGAACCAGCTTTTGTTTTAATACTTTTTCCTTCTGCTTTTTTTTTTTTTTTTTTTTTTGAGACGGAGTTTCGCTCTTGTTACCCAAGCTGGAGTGCAATGGCGTGATCTCGGCTCACTGCAACCTCTGCCTCCTGGGTTCAGGCAATTCTCCTGCCTCAGCCTCCCGAGTAGCCGGGATTACAGGCATGCGCCACCAGGCCCAGCTAATTTTTGTATTTTTAGTAGAGACGGAGTTTCACCGTGTTGACCGGGATGGTCTCGATCTGTTGACCTCGTGATCCACCCGCCTCGGCCTCCCAAAGTGCTCCTTATGCTTTTATGTTTCCTATTTCATCTAGTTCTGCTCTGATCTTTATTGTTTCTTTTCTCTTACTTACTTTGGACTTAATTTCCTCTTCTTTCTACTTAAGATGGAGGCTGAGGCCATTGTTTTGAGACTTTTTTTCCTTTCTAGTATGGGAGTTTAATGCTATAATTTGTTGCTGAGTCCTGTTTTAGTGTCATCCCACAGATTTTGACATACTGTGTCCACTGTTTTACCTCCTGATTTCTTCTTTGATCCTGGGTTATTTAGAAATGTGTTATTTAGTTTCCAAATATTTTTAGATTCTCTAGAGATTTTTCTGTTACTGATTTCTAACTTAATCTCAATTTAGTTAGGTAACATACTTTGTATGCCTTGAATCTTTTTAAATTTATTAAGACTTGTTTTATGATCCAGAAGTTTTTATTTTTGTTGTTGTATTTGTTTATTTTATTTTATTTTTTTTTTCGAGACAAGGTTTTGCCCTGTCACCCAGGCTGCAGTACAGTGGTACAATCATGGCTCACTGCAGCCTCAACTTCTTGGGCTCAAGTGATTCTCCCACTTCAGCCTTCCCAGTACCTGAGACTACAGTTACATGCCACCATGCCTGGCTAATTTTTTGAAATTTATTTTGTATTTCAAAAAGTTTTTGGGGAACAGGTAGTGTTTGGTTACATGAAAAAGTTCTTTAGTGGTGGTTTCTGAGATTTTGGTGCACCCATCACCCAAGCAGTGTGTGTTTGGTTACATGAAAAAGTTCTTTAGTGGTGGTTTCTGAGATTTTGGTGCACCCATCACCCAAGCAGTGTACACTGTACCCAGTGTGTAGCCTTTTATCTCTCACCCCACTCCCACTCTTCCCCTTGAGTCCCCAAAGTCCATTGTATCATTCTTGTGCCTTGGCATCCTCATAGGCTTAGTTCGCACTTATAAGTGAGAACATACGACGTTCGATTTTCCATTCCTGAGTTGCTTCACTTAGAACAGTAGTCTCTAGATTCATTCAGTTGCTGCAGATGCCATTATTTTATTCCTTTTATGCATGCCTGGGTAATTTTTAAAGTATTTTGTAGAGACGGGGTCTCACTGTGTTGCCTAGGCTGGTCTTGAACTTCTGGGCTCAGGTGATTCTCCCACCTCAGCCCCTCAAAGTGCTGGAACTATAGCATGAGCCATGGCACCAAGCCCAGAATATAGTTTATTATTATTATTTTTTAGTTTATTATTCTTATTTATTTTTTTTTTTGAGACAGGCTCTCATTCTGTCGCACTGGCTGGAGTGCAATTGTATGATCTCGGCTCACTGAAGCCTTTGCCTCCCAGGTTCAAGCAGTTCTTGTGCTTCACCCTCCCAAGTAGCTGGGACTACAGGTGTGTGCCTCCACACCTGACTAATTTTTGTATTTTTAGTAAAGTGGGCATTCACCATGTTGTCCAGGCTGGTCTTGATCTCCTGACCTCAAGTGATCCACTCTCTTTGACCTCCGAAAGTTCTGGGATTACAAGCATGAGCCACGGTGCCTGGCCATAGTTTTTTATTTTCAAATATAAGTAATAATAATAAATAGTGCCTATCTTTTAGGATTGAGGTGAAAGTTAAATAAGAATGCAGACATAGCCAGGAGGAACACCTGTAATCCCAGCTACTCAGGAGGCTGAGGCAGAAGGATCTCTTGTGCCCAGGAGTTTGAGGCTGCAGTGAGCTATGATCATGCCACTGAACTCTAGCCTGAGTGACAGGACAAGACCTCATCTCTTTTAAAAACAACAGCAACAAAAAAGCATGTAAAGTACATGGCCTAGCACATAGCAAATGATCAGTAAGTGATCGCTATTGTCCTTATAAAGCTTGTTTTTTATTTCATAATTCACTGTGTCTATTCTGAAATGCAGTCTGTGAGTTCATGATATTTTCAGTTTCTTTGAGTGCAATATTATATTCCTTCTGGCAGAGTTTGAAATATTTAGTCAGTTTGAAAAAATTGAGACTCTTATATTCCCTTGTGTAAAAAATGGCTTCTGATATGAATCATTTATTTTCACAGAAAAGTCTGAAAAGTGTGTTATGATTATTTTCACCAAAAAAGCCTAAGAAAAGTTGAGGTTAACTGAATAGTGTAGTAATAGTTGAGGAACCATTTTCATATACGCTATCACATCCAAGGCTGTCTTCTCTTACTACACACTGTGTCCTGGTCAACTCCTTCAGCCCTCTAACTGTTGTCTTCACATCTACCCTTGCTTTTCTCCAATTCTTGGTCCACAGTATAGCCGTAGTGATCATGATGTCACTCCTCTAATTGAAAAATTATTCTGTGGCTTCATGTTGCTTTTAGGATAAGGTCTAAAAACTTTAATATGGTCCTTATGACACAGTGTGATTAGGGCATTGCCAGTTTCTCTAGTAGCTCTGCCTGCATCTACCTTCCCATGTCTGTTTCTTCCATTCTGGTCTCATTTCAGTCCTCAAAATTTTCATTCTTTTTCCTGCTTCTTCCTGTCCATGCTGTTCCTATCTAAACCTTACCTCTTTTGGAAAGTCCTCCCTGACCCCCCTCTCCTTTTATCCCATTACAATTTCTCTGCCTAATTTATATCCCTTACTCCCATCTAGAACTCTGTGTTTCTCATTTTCAGTACTCATCATGATTATAATTGTTCCATCAGTATCTCCTCCCCAAGATTACACACATAAGATTAAGGATTGTGTTTGTCTTGTCACTCTGTGTCTAGTGCCTAGCACAATACCAGACTCAGGTGTGTGGTAAATATTTGTTGGATGAATGAAATTAGGTATTTAGAAAATTTAGATTATATCTGTAATTACCTGTAATAATTGTATTGTCATCTTTTTGTTAACTGTATTTCTTATAGATGTTACTTTCAAACAGTTTTTTAAAAACACACTTACTTTAGGACTAAGAAAAAAGCTATTGGCTGGGAGCAGTGGCTCACATCTGTAATCTCAGCACTTTGGGAAGCCAAGGCAGGTGAATCTCAAGGTCAAGAGATCGAGACCATCCTGGCCAACATAGTGAAACCCTGTCTTTACTAAAAATACACAAATTAGCCAGGTGTAGTGGCGTGTGCCTGTAGTCCCAGTTACTCGCTCGGGAGGCTGAGGCAGGAGTATCACTTGAATCTGGGAGGCGGCGGTCGCAGTGAGCTGAGATTGTGCCACTGCACTCCAGCCTGGCGACAAAGCAAGACTCCATCTCAAAAAAAAAAAAAAAAAAAAAAGAAAAGAAAAAAGCTATCATTTTACTGATATTTTCTATGAGATGTCGTATTTGTCACTTGAGGAAAATTGCCTCATTTCGTTCTTACTATCAATGGCGAGTTTTAATTCTTATCCCCATTTTGCCATTGGCAGATGTGGTTTGAGACTAAGGTCTTTCTGCTCTAGAGCCTGTATTCTTTTGCTGTGCTTATGCAGCCATCTCCAGTTTAATGTCCACAATAAGTACTTCATATACACATGATAAGAAATGTCTCATAATTAGATATATTATAAGATTTTTGCATTTAGGGCTTGGGATGCTTTTTGTTAATTATTAGTGATATCTCTCATTGGTGCTATAACAGTGCTTTGTGCACATGGTACAGAGTACATATTGTAATTGTTGATAATAAAGGTGAAACTTGTGCTAGAATAAATTTTGAATCCTGGGAAGAAATTACATCACAGTTTCTTTCTTTCTTTTTTTTTTTACATCACAGTTTCAAAGGAATTAAGAGCTATCGTTCTGTAGCATAAGAAGTAACTAATTCTTGTCATCATTTTCAGGGACTATTTTTGCATATGGACAAACTGGAACAGGCAAAACTTTTACCATGGAAGGTGTTCGAGCTGTTCCTGAACTTAGAGGAATAATTCCCAATTCATTTGCTCACATATTTGGTCATATTGCAAAAGCAGAGGGTGATACAAGGTAAAAGAATTCTTTTATTTTCTAATATTGAGAAGTACAAACACAGGAAAGGCACTTAGGTTTAAGTTATATAAACACGTTTTAAAATTGTTCTTATAAATATTTCACTCTGACTTTTTAAAAATGATGTTTTATTTATAGATTTTTGGTTCGAGTGTCTTATTTGGAAATATATAATGAAGAAGTTCGTGACCTTTTGGGAAAGGATCAGACACAAAGGTTAGAGGTAAGGATAATTGAAATTTGGAAGAGTATTTTTTCCAAAGCAGTAGAATGTTTACTAAATTAAGGTTCCCCCCTGCCTTTTTTAAAACAAAAGATGCTTTTGATATTTTAAGTGACCTCATACATATATAATGTCATAAATCTGCAGACATATCTGGGGATAAATTACCGAAGCAGGATTGCTGAGTCAGATGGTAAATGATTGGTAAATTTGATATTGCCACATATTGTCATATTTTAAGGTGTGAGACATACAGCAAGGAAAATATTAGTATTGGAATTTTAGTTGGATTGTATCACCAGTAAAATAGAGGAAAATAATCCAGATAGAGTTAACAGTGGAATAAGATACAGAACAGTAGTAGCCAGCATTGTAGAATGGTATAGAGTATGTGTAGAACAAGTAGCCAGCATTACTGAGCTCTTGCAATGTGATGTAGGCATTCAGTGCAGTAATTGATGGTTGTTGATAGTAGTAAATCATTTATTTCATTTACTCTTGCCAGCAGTTTGGTTTTACTGATGTGGAAACTGAAATTTAGAAGGGTTTCTTGACTTGCTCAAGGTCACATAGCAAGTGAATGGCCATATTATCTAGAATTAAGAAGGTGGTTCTATCAGTCTACCGTCTTAGATTGAAATCTGGCTCTGATCAGGTTACTTAATCTCTATGAGCCTTGGTTTGGTCATAAAAATGGAAGTAATGGTGTCTACTTCATAGGATTATTACCAGTAGTAACAGATTAGAGTGTTTAAATCAGTGCCTGACATAAAATAACCAATAAATGTTAGCTTTTTTTTTCTTTTTAAGTTTACTGCATAAACTGAGTTTTTGGAATAATGTATTACAGTGTTAAGTATTGTTTGTGTTTGTTTGTGCTTGTTGGACCTTCATGAAGCCTTATTCTGTGATACCATTTATATAGCAAATGTAGAAACAAACTTCTTTGTTGCAGTTTTCAACTTTAGTTCTGATGAATATTTTATTAATTCTGTGCTTTCATGTCCTAAAAATTTGTTGTCTTATGCAAATTCTAGAAGTAAATCATTTGAAAAGGACATTTCCATTTTTGTACCAGTAATTACAGATCAGATTTATTCTCAGGAACATTCTTGTCAATGGTTCTCAACTCTGTTAGACCCAGTGCTCCTTTTCCAATAACATACATTTTGTAATGCTCTTTTGACTGTCCTGAAATAAAATTCATAAATAATATTAATCTACCTTTACACATATTTTTAAAAATGCATGTATTACCCTACTGTAATATAAAGGAGAATACAAGTAATTAAAAATAAATGCTAATATTTTGGTATGTAAATGCTTAGATGTGACCACACTTGATGACATAATAAAATAGAGGCATATAGAATCATCAAAATTGTAACAGCTACAAATGCACAGTGTCAACAGGTGTGTTGTGTTGTTGACCTAAACCCCTTGATTGGTGTTATTGTCAATGATACGGTTTTTTAAAAATAATGACTAGCTCTTGGTAGAATTTGGAGCAAAATAAAATACAGTTCTTTTCTCAGCTTTTCTGTATTCTCATATTATTGCTATATGGAAAAACACTTTGTCTTTATGTGTGAAATAAAGTTACATATGACCCACTCAGATATAATTATCTGGGTCTAGACTTAGATAATTATTAGTAGATTTTTTTACCCTGTGAATATCTGTTAGGACATTCAGAATTGTATGGGACAGTTTTTCATTGGGTAAGACTGTCCGACCTATTTCAAAATGTTTATTATCCCTGGTCACTGCCTGTCAATACTACAGTGTCCTGAAGTGAACCAGAAACTCTTCTGAAAATTTCGTAAAACATTCTAGGGCAAAGGGGTAACTGCTTCCATTGAGATCCATTGTTATAAATTGTGTTTGTCATAGATATTGAATTCCTTTTTTGTTTTTTGAGACAGAGTCTCATTCCGTCGCCAGGCACCAGGCGCCAGACTGGAGTGCAGTGGCGTGATCTTGGCTCACTGCAACCTCTACCTCCCGGGTTCAAGCAATTCTCCTGCCTCAGCCTCCCAAGTAGCTGGGATTACAGATGTGCGCCACCCAACCCAGCTATTTTTGTATTTTTAGTAGAGACGGGGTTTCACCTTGTTGGCCAGGATGGTCTCGATCTCTTGACCACGTGACCCGCCCGCCTTGGCTTCCCAAAGTGCTGGGATAACAGGCGTGAGCCACTGTGCCCCGCTTGAATTCCTATTTTTTTATGATAAAAATTCTTTGGTAGCATTTCCTTTCAGTTTTTTAAATTTTACAAATTTGGGATTATATTTTCTTTCTTCATCTTTCATGTCTAATCAGTTATTAATTGAATACACTTACTAATTGAATTTTGAATTAATATCATATTGTGATTGGAAAATACCACTAGTTTGTAGACAGATGTCAGTTTGAAGAATGTTCATTTTCAGTCTTCACTGAGAATGAACAAAAACTGAGAGTAAGTGCTTAAAAACTTGCATAGCAATTTGACATTGCATGGAATCCAAGTGCATAATTTTTGTATTTTCCAAAATTATCATGTTAGAAACATACCTATCATTTATCACAGATTTTTTTGAGAAGCATTGATATAGACCAGTAATTTTCAAACTTTTTAAAAGGTATAAAGCATTTAAATACTTCCATCAAACCAAAACTTATATGGAAGCTGAATGTGTAAAATTCATGGAAGTGCCCATCTCTTTAGAACTTCTCCGGGCCTGAAGACCTGAAAACTTCCACAGTGGCCCCCTCAGTGCCACCATGGACCCTCTAGGGCTTTTCAGAGCAAGATCTGAAATCCACTGGTTTATAGAGCTTATCACACTTTTTTATATTACTAATAAAATTAGGACTTAATTTATATCCCCATGACAGATAAAGGATTTTTCCTAATTTGTAAATTTATTTTACAAATTGTTATAAAAGGTACACACACACACACACACACACAACATTGAAAATAACTGGAATGCTGAGTGTGTACCCTTATAACTTTTCTCCCCTGGAATTATCAAATTTTTGTTTGTCTTTGATGTCTATGAGGTCTCCTACCTGTGGAATGGCTTTTACCACTGGCGGCCATAGGCCTCTGCCTCAGTTTTACTTTTTATTCTGTTGGTTTGTAGAAGTGACTCTGAGCCTTCCAAAATGAATTTTGTTTATACAACACCACTTGTATTTTAGGTAAATCCATCCTAAATACGTTCTTCAAATTTGGTTAAAAATTCTCATAAGATAATTCACAGAAAGATCATATTTTAATATTGATACCCATAGATCTGATTATTTCCCTCAGTTGCTTGAAATTCTCCAAATTATTCTTACCATAAAGAGAAAAAACTAGTCTAAACTTGTCTCTGCCTTCCTATATGACCAGATGTCTCACGTATTTTTCCCTGTTTCATGTTCTCTCCAGCCACACTGTCTTTTTTGGTTTGTTATTTTTGTTGTTTTTCGTAAATGCCTAGTTTTTTCTTATTTCAGAATTCTTCAACATTTTCTTCTTCTCCTACCTCAACTTTCTACCTGCCCTTTTTTTTTTTTTTTTTTTTTTAATTTTAGCTTAAACATCTTGGGGAATTTTCTTCTATCTCCTTCATTAGCGTAGTGTTCTGTATTTTTCTTCATGTCATCACAGTTGAAATAAAATAATTTTTGTGTGTAATTCTTCTTTTGTATGTTCTTACTATAGACTGACATCTCCATGTATGTAAGAACAGTGTCTATCTTATTCATCACTATATTACCTCTGTCTAGTAGAGCATCGAACACACAGGAGATGCTCAATAAATAATTGTGGAAGAGTTACTGATGTTGTGTAAATTCCTTTTGTTTTTTTTTTTTTTAGGTTAAAGAAAGACCTGATGTGGGAGTTTATATCAAAGATTTATCAGCTTATGTGGTAAATAATGCTGATGATATGGATAGAATTATGACACTAGGCCATAAAAATCGTAAGTATAGTGTGTAATTGTGATTACATCTGTGTGTTGAGTAGGCTGATTTAGGAGCAAAATTGATACGGCACTTTGCTGTGTAGAGACTGAATTTTTTAGGTTTCTTGAAAACCATTCCATTTTTAATGTTTACTACGTAGAGAGAATATATGAAGGAAGGATATCACAAATCATTTTCCATGCTGACCAAAATTTTGTTTTTTTTTCACTAGTGCCAATCTATGCAACTCTCATATAGCTGTCTCTTGGTAGCTGTAATAGTAAAATTGGTAACGTTTACTGAGCACTTCGTGGAGAGTGCTTGTGCCAAGTGCTTTATGAGGATGATCTCTTAATCCTCACAGGAGACTATGAAGATATTAAATTATTACTTTATGAATGAAGAAACTGAGACTTAGTTTAAGTAATTTGTTTAAGCACTATAACTACTAAGTGGTAGAGTGAGTGTTCACACCTAAGCCATAACCAAGCATGATGGCTCATTCCTGTAATCCCAGCAACTTGGGAGGCTGAACTGGGAGGAACACTTGAGGCCATAAGTTTGAGACCAGCCTGGGGAATAGGGAGTCCCTGTCCTAAAGAATCCCCCCACCAAAAAAATCCCCAAAACCTAGGCCAGTAGTCCACATTAGGCACTATAATGCTTCACTTTTGTTGAAAAGCAAAACAAAATTTAAATTTATAAATTTCATTCTTTTTACTAACTGTTTCAAGTTTTTAGTCTAAAGAATAAGAAGCTTCAGCAGTATTATACAGATGCCTCAAACCTAATATTGGTGATGCAGCTAATAGCAATTAGAAATTAGAGGTGAAAGGACCAGTTGCTGTAGCTCACGTCTGTAATCCTACTCAGCACTTTGGGAGGCCAAGGTGGGTGGATTACTTGTTTAAGACCAGCCTGGCCAACATGATGAAACTCCATCTCTACTAAAAATACAAAAATAAGCTGGGCATAGTGGTGGGTGCCTGTAATCCCAGCTACTCGGGAGGCTGAGTCAGAGTTGTTTTAACCAGGGAGGCAGAAATTGCGGTGAGTGGAGATCATGCCATTGCACTCCAACTTGGGTGACAGCAACTAAAAAAAAAAAAAAGGAAGAAAGAAAAAGAGATTTTATGTAAAAAGATAAGAAATAGGAAATGAAAAATATTTCTAAGTTTCTGTGACTTGACTATTGAGCTATCAAACCCAAGGAAATTAAACAAAAAAATTTCAAAAATCAATTATATTCTTATGAACCAGTTAATAGAAAAAGACCATATCCTAACAGAAAAATTAGCAAAAAATATGTATGTTATTTATAAAAGAACTATGCACAGCAACAAGTATGTGAAAGGATGTTTAACTTGACAAGTAATCAGGAAAATACAAATTAAAACAAGAGGGAGATAGATACATTTCACTCATTAGATTGGATGAAGAATATGTAGGTTGGTGAGACTTTGAAGAAATGGGCTCTGGGGATGGAATATAAATTGGTGCAGCATGTTTGAAGGGCAATGTTAACAGTATCTGTTGACATTTTAAAATATATTCCCTTTAATTCTGTGTTTCTAATTTTAGCCATATTCTGGAAAAATATTTTTAGATTTTACAATCTAAATAACCATCAATAGAACACTGATTATGTAAATTATGGCACAAAAATATGGACTGTAATAAAGCTCCTAAAAACGACAAGTTAGGCTGGGCGCGGTGGCTCATGGCTGTAATCCCAGCAATCTGGGAGGCTGAGTTAGGGAGATTGAGCTCAGGAGTTTGAGACCAGCCTGGGCAACATGGTGAAACCCCATCTCTACTAAAAAAACAAAAAAAGAAAAAAAACCAGGGGTGGTGGCACCTGTAATCCCAGCTACTCGGGAGGCTGAGGCTGGAGAATCACTTGAACCTGGGAGTTAGAGGTTGCAGTGAGCCAAGATAGTGTCACTGAACTCCATCCTGGGCAACACAGCAAGACTGTGTCTCAAAAAAACAAAATAGGCTGGGTGAAGTGGCTCATGCCTATAATCCCAGGACTCTGGGTGGCTGAGGCAAGTAGATCACTTAAGGCCAGGAGTTTGAGACTAGCTTAGCCAGCCTGGTGAAACCCTGTCTCTCCTAAAAATACAAAAATTAACTCGGTGTGGTGGTGTGCACCTGTAATCTCGGCTACTTGAGAAGTTGAGGCTGGAGGATCGCTTGAACCTGGGACAGGGAGGTTGCAATTAGCCAAGGTGGCGCCACTGAACTCCAGCCTGGGTGACAGAGTGAGACTCTCAAACCAGACAAAACAAAAAAAAAACCCAGTCAGTTAAATGTGCATATAAAGACCTGAAAGATTTTCAAAATATGTTTGTCAGTGGGGGAGAAAAGCAGATTGTAGAACAGTATGTGTGTACTGTATTATCCCATTTATTTATATGTAAAAAATTATTAAACCATTTATTTGGGCTGTATGTGTGTGTGTGTGTGTATATGTATGTATCTATATCTGTGTTTACATGTGTGTATGTAAAATACAAAATGAAAGACAGATAATAGTGGTTACCTTTAGGGAAGGAGAAATAAAATTGGGGAAAAGGAATGTCAGGAGCTTTCACTTTATGCATTCTGTATGTCTTTATTTTAAAAATTTAAATACCAGGAATATGTTATTATTGTTTATGTAATTTTAAAATTTTTAACACAAGATTTTATTCATAGAAGTGACCAAAAGCTCTCATTAACTAGCTGAGAATTAATTTAATGTGGTATATTTGATTTGTTCAAGGAAAACAAAAAATTTCTAATGAGAGAAATAAAATGAAACAAAGATAAAAGAATTTGAAGATCTAAAGTAACAGATAGAAATACTCTAATAGATCAACTCCAAGAATTAAACATTTAGTCCAAATTTCTAGGTAGAAGAGTTCAAACATTAATAATACAAACATTATCATGTTTAAATATAATAACCATCAAGAGGAAGATAGAGAGGGGAAATGTGATAATAAAAGCTTCTACTCTAAATAGATGAATAATTTATACAAATATAAGATTAGCACCCATTTTCTACAGGTCGTCATAGTAGGGAAATTGTTAATTTTATATTTAAGAAAATAAGTTTGTCATCTCAAAGACAAATACAGCCTACCTAGCAACTAAAATGCACATTTAAACTAGTCAGGTACATTTACATGGTGGGCATCCTTGTAAAATGGTTATTTCTAGAGCAGTGTTTTTCAGCCTTTAAACTATGATTTTTTTTATTTTTGAATATGTAATTCGTATATGTGGTATAAAACTCAAAATGCACAAAAGTATACAGTGAAAAACAAGTCTCTGGGAGGCTGAGGCAGGAGAATTGCTTGAACCCGGAAGGCAGAGTTTGCAGTGAGCTGAGATCACGCCATTGCACTCCAGCCTGCGTGAGAGAGAGAGACTCCATCTCAAAAAAAAAAAAGAAAAAAAAGTCTCTCTCCTACTCTTTATTCTCAGTCACCTAGTTCCCATCCCTAGTGGCAGCCTCTTTATTTCCTTGTGTGCCCTTCCTGATAACTGTCTGTGTACAAGCATGTCCTCTTCTTCAGTCAGATAATAGCATTTTTTTTTCTTTTCTTTTTTTTTGAGACGGAGTTTCGCTCTTGTTACCCAGGCTGGAGTGCAATGGCGCGATCTTGGCTCACTGCAACCTCCGCCTCCTGGGTTCAGGCAATTCGCCTGCCTCAGCCTCCCGAGTAGCTGGGATTACAGGCACGTGCCACTATGCCCAGCTAATTTTTTGTATTTTTAGTAGAGACGGGGTTTCACCATGTTGGCCAGGCTGTTCTTGAACTTCTGAGATAATATTCACTTAGTATCTTCTTGGAGATCATTTCACATGAACACATATTAGCACATATATAGACATTAAAAAATGACTATATAGTCTTTAGTTGGATGGATGTACCATAAATTACTCTATCTTTTATTGATGGACTTTTGGATTGTTGTCAATCTTGCTATTATGAGCAATACTGCAGTACACATTCTTGTTTATATATAAGTACACACATGCAGGTGTGTTTATAGAATAAATTGTTCTGTACCTTCTGGAAAAGCATAAAAATTTAATTTTCTTTCATATTTAAAAATGATTACTGTGATAGAAAATAGGGCAGTAAAGGTGTTTTTTATTTTGTTTCATTATATGATGTTTCAGCAGTTTGGAGTGCTGAGTCTACTTGATTACTATTAGCTGTTCTGTCCCAGTGGTTGTAAAGTTCAATGTAGGTGACTTTTAGCGGCTTGTCTGCTGCAGTGCTTTATTTTTGTAACTGGAAATATAGAAAAATTACAATCACCATAGCATGCTTTACTCATATTGCAAAAAACAATAGTTATTAAAACAGCTAATATGATTTTTTTTTCAAATTACATATTCTGTCTCACCTCAAGTTGGAAAACACTTCTATAATGTGATTAATAATCACATAGCTAGAACACTCTTCCTATCCTTTGACTTGGTAATTCCAGTTTGGAAAGTATATTCCGTGGAAATAACCCTAAAGAGAAAGAAAGGATCTATTCAAAGATGCTCATAATAGTATCACTTGTAAGGGCCTAAGATAGGAAACAGTCTCAAATATCTAACAGTAAAAAAATAACAAAATCAATTTCAGTAAAATGTTCAAGTTGTTTTTTCATGGAAATATACATAAGAGATAATGTTAAGTGGAAAAAAACCAGAAGATAAAGTAAGACCTAGTAACTCTGTGGAAACATGCGTGTATGTCACTACTGAACAGAGGATTTGAAGTGGTGTATAAATGAATAGCTCTTTATTTTATTTTTGTTTTTATTATTTTTTTAGATGGAGTTTTTGCTCTTGTTACCCAGGCTGGAGTGCAGTGGCGCAATCTTGGCTCACCCCAACCTCTGCCTCCCAGGTTCAAGCCATTCTCCTGCCTCAGTCTCATGAGTAGCTGGGATTACAGACATATGCCAACACATTGGGCTAAGTTTGTATTTTTAGTAGAGACAGGGTTTCTCCACGTTGGTCAGGCTGGTCTCATATTCCCAACCTCAGGTGATCCACCTGCCTCAGCCTCCCAAAGTGCTGGGATTATAGCTGTGAGCCATCGCGACTGGGCGGTTTTTAATTTTGTTGTTAAAATTTTTCAATTTGGGCCGGGCGCGGTGGCTCATGCCTATAATCCCAGCACTTTGGGAGGCTGAGGCAGATGGATCACAAGGTCAAGAGATCGAGACCATTCTGGTCAATATGGTGAAACCCTGTCTCTACTAAAAGTACAAAAATTAGCTGGGCATGGTGGTGCACGCCTGTAGTCCCAGCTACTCAGGAGGCTGAGGCAGGAGAATTGCTTGAACCCAGGAGGTAGAGGTTGCAGTGAGCCGAGATTGCGCCATTGCACTCCAGCCTGGGGAACAAGAGTGAAACTCCATCTCAAAAAAAAAAAAATTCAATTTGATTTAAAAGAAATAGAAAAATATAGTATGGAATCACAAACTCTTGTGTCTTCATTCACTAGTTCTTCATTTACCTTCTTTCATCAGGCTTTATTTTTCTCTGTCGACGCAAATTGCATTCATGTTATCTAACTTCTAATATAGCTATCTCCTAATAAAGACTACCTCTTTAATGTTTAAATTCTAAAATCAAAGCTTGCATAGAAAAGTTCTGCAGGAATCTATAGTAGGAAGATAATTTTGGCATTGAGTAGAATTAACAATGCTTTTAAAATCCTTTGGAATTAAAGAAAAAAACGAATACATGTCTATTTTAAATAAGTGTTTTTTGTTTACACAGTATATTCAAATATTTACACACATACAAATACTTTGCATATTATGAATAGATTTTTTTCTTTTAACAGAAGTAGGATTATGGTATGTGTTCCTTTTTAACTTGCTTTTATTTTTAATTTATATGTTATGGGCGTTTTTCCATGTCTTTAGATATACCTTAGTTTTTATAATGCAGCACTGAATATTGTTGTATTTTCTGACATATATGTGCAAATATTCCTGTAGTTTATCTGCCTAGAACATAATTCTTTTTTTTTTTTTTTTTTGAGATAGCATCTTACTGCGTTGCCCAGGCTGGAGTGCAGTCTCAGCTCACTACTACCTCTGCCTCATGGATTCAAGTGATTCTTGTCCCTCAGCCTCCCAAGTAGCTAAAATTCTAGCCCAGCTAAAATTCTCTTTATTATTATTTTTTTTTACTTCCTACAGTACACCAGCATACATAATTCTCTTTAGACAGCTAAATCAGCAATAATTTCTCCAATTAACATGGTTTTCTGGGTGTAAATTAGTTTATTTTTTAGGCAGAATTATTTGGGATTGAAACTATTTTTTGCTAACGTTATGTCTTTAATATGAGAAACCTTAAAAATTATTTTGTTAACATAAAGTATAAGAGCCATTTCACATAATGGCTAAGTACACACCCATGCCTTTATAAAGTTTAGCCATGCTGTCTGGCTTTTAATTGTGATGAAATTAAGTATTTTAAGCTGTTCTGGATGTTTAATTATTTTTAAAGTCACTCTCTGTTACACTTTTTAAGGATTTTCTTTATTTATTAAAGGTTCTGTTGGTGCAACTAATATGAACGAACATAGTTCCCGTTCTCATGCCATCTTTACAATAACTATAGAATGCAGTGAAAAAGGCATTGACGGTAACATGCATGTCAGGATGGGGAAGCTCCATCTTGTAGATCTTGCTGTAAGTAACAGGACATTGCTTAAGGAATACTTCTTTATTGTGATCCATTTATTTTATAAATGAATAAAAATTAAAGTAAAGAGGTATGATTTACATATGATTTTTAAGTTGTTACTTGTATATGCTTATTATATATTATGGAACATTTCAAATGTATATGACAGTACGTAGAATAGTATAATGATCCTCCATACACTGATCACCCAACTCCAACAATCAGCTCATGGTTAATCTTGTTTTACTTACTCTCACCCACTTCTTCCCTTCCTATATTATTTTGAAGTGAATTCCAGACATCGTATCAAGTTTTTTAAGGTTACATTACTTTTTAATAAAACCTTGGGATGAATATTCTATTTTTTTTAATTTTGTTTTTACTTTCATCTCTGTTTATTGCTAGGGTTCAGAAAGGCAAGCAAAAACTGGAGCTACTGGACAGCGCCTAAAGGAAGCTACAAAAATCAATCTTTCACTTTCCACCCTTGGTAATGTAATTTCTGCCTTGGTTGATGGAAAAAGCACTCATGTGCCTTATCGTAACTCGAAATTGACTCGTCTTCTTCAGGATTCCTTAGGAGGAAATTCAAAAACTATGATGGTAAGACTTAATTGGTGATACTGTTAACATCAGGCAAATTTAAGATTCCACTTTATGCCAATAATTATAATGTATCACATTTTAAAAACTGTTATTTTACTTTTTTTGACTTGTGGTTGTCCTTTCTGTGGTACACTCATGTGTATTAGCCCATAATAGTGTCATTTGGAAACCCATGTGGTTGACACACTCTTTTTCAAGAAAGCCAAGGGCGCATATTTGCTTTAAACAGTTTTTGACATATTTGTAATGGTTATGTTAATTTTAACTGTGTCAAGTGTAAAATGATTTGTTTCATGTTTCTAATTCTACAGTGTGCAAATATTGGGCCAGCAGATTACAATTATGATGAAACTATCAGTACATTACGGTATGCCAATCGTGCTAAGAATATTAAAAATAAAGCTAGAATTAATGAAGATCCAAAGGATGCTTTGCTGCGTCAGTTCCAGAAAGAAATAGAAGAACTGAAAAAGAAGCTTGAAGAAGGTAACTTTTTCTCAAAATATTAATCTTTATGTTGGTTAAAAATATGTTGTTGAACCACTAAGTGTTCTAATAAAAGTACTCAAACATTTTTTGAGCCTCTAACATTGGTAGTTAAATGAATATTTCTGGAAAGTGACTTGGTACTTACATACTTTAGCATGTTCATATTAAGCTTAAGTAGAATTACATAGTATTTATGTATGTGGTTTTCTAAAAACATTCCCATGATTTATAGATTTCACGTGACCACTTGTTAAAGAATGAATGTTTATTTGTCTCTGCATAAGAGTAAATTCTGAATGTATATATTTAGGTGAAAATGACCAGAATTCTGGCTTTGCAATGTCAGCTCACTATTATTTGGAGTAAAGAAAGACATTAGACAGGTGTGAGTAAACCAAGTTTTCTATAAGAAAAAAATGCATTGCATGACCTTTAAAATATCCTTTCATACCAAAATTTGAACATGAGTTTCCATTTTGGAAATTATTTTCTAACACATCATTCTAGAAAGTTAGAAAATTTGAAGAGCTTATTTATGAGAGTGAGAAGCTTCCCAATCATGAAGTGTGCAGTGATTTCTTGCACCTTTATGCAAAAAACAGGTTCTTTCTGATTGGTATAGAGCTGCTTTGCAAACCAGGTAAACAGAGGGCTTTGAAATTGCACCTTTGTAGTCTATGAGGAAACTGTCTAGATCAGAGGTGAAATTCAGAGACATGAGCATCACAAATGTTTAGAGGAGGTGCTTATTTAGTAAACAAGTAAAGTTATTGAGGAAAAGCAGAAAACTCTGTTAGATAATGAAATTTGGTGTTTTAAATATGACCACTAGGTGGTATTTATAGCCAGTATGTTTTAAAGATTTTAAATTTCTTAGCCATGTTAATGGTGAGTGCATACTTTTATTATGCTGACTTTATTTTTTTACATTTTTTTGTTGTGGCAAAATATACATGACATAAAATTTACCATTTTAACCATTATTAGTTAAATGTACCGTTCAATGGCATCACGTCTATTCACATTGTTGTGCAACTGTCACTATTCATTTCTAGAACTTCTTCATCATCCCAAACAGAAACGCTGTACCCATTAAGTAATAACTTCCTATTCTCTTCTCCCCCTAGTCTCTGGTAACCACTATTCTACTTTCTGTCTGTGAATTTGACTACTCTAGGTACCTCGTATAAGTAAAATCATAGAGTGTTTGTCTTCTTGTGATTGGCTTATTTCACTTAATAGAAGTTGAAGGTTCATCCATGTTGTAGCAAGTGCCTAAATTTTATTCCAAAGTTTATCATTTTAACCACATTAAAAAAATTTTTTTTTTTTTGAGATGGGCTCTTCCTCTCTTGCCCAGCTGGAGCGTAATGGCACAATCTCGGCTCACTGCAACTTCTGCCACCCAGGTTCAAGTGATTCTCCTGACTCAGCCTCCCAAGTAGCTGGAACTACAGGCGTGCACCACCACACCCAGCTAATTTTTTGTATTTTATATAGACGAGGTTTCACCATGTTGGCCAGGATGGTCTCGATCTTCTGACCTTGTGGTCCACTTACCTCGGCCTCCCAAAATTCTGAGATTACAGGCGTGAGCCACTGCATCTGGACATTTTAACCACATTTAAGTCTACATTTCTGTGGCTTTATGTTCACATTGTTCTGCAGCTGTCTCCAGTTTTCATCTTGTAAAATTGAAACTTTGTACTCATTGAACAGTATGTGCCCATTCCTCCCTTGCCCTAGTTCCTGGCCAGCAGCCATTCTGCTTTGTTTATGAATTTGACTACTCTAGGTATCTTATGAAAGTGGAATTATACAGCATTTGTCCTTTTGTGACTGGCTTATTTCACTTAGCATAATGCCTTCAAGGGTCATCCATGTTGTAGCATGTGTCAGGACTTCTTTTAAAGTCTGAGCAACATTCCATTGTATGTGTATACTACATTTTGTTATCCATTCATCTATCAATGGACAATTGGTTGCTTCCATCTTTTGGCTATTGTGAATAATGCCACTATGAACATGGGTGTACAAATACCTGTTCAATTTCTTGTTTTACCATTTTTTGGGTATGTACCCAGCAGTGGAATTGCTGAATTATATGATAATGCTGTTTTTAACACATTTTATTTTATTTTTGCTCTGACATTTTTTTTAATAATCCAGTTAATGGCGTTGATCATATAAACAATAAAAAAGTAGGCAATAGCATTAAAAGAATAATTTTTAAACTTAAAAATTATTTTAGGCTTATAGAAAACTGGCAAACATGATACGGAGAGTTCCTATCTATCCTTCACCCAGCTGCACTTCATGTTAACATCTTTTATAAGTATAGTACAGTTAAAAAAAAAAAAGTATAGTACAGTTATTGAAACCAGGAAATTTACATCAATATAGTCTTAACTAATCTGTGGATTTCATTCAAATTTGGTCAGTTTCCCTTCCAGTGCCCTTTTTTCTGGCCCAGGATACAATCCAGGATGACACATTGTATTTGTATGTCATGCCTTCTTAATGACAGTATCTAGCACACTTGTTCTTCAGTCTCTTATAATTCCCCAGTCTTTCTTGATCGTGACATTTTAGAAGAATACTCGTCATATATTTTGTTAAATGTTCATTAATTTGAGTTTGTCTACATTTCTTTTATAATTATTACCCTGTAAAGTTTCCCCACTGCAAATCTATTGTTTTATTTTTTCCATTTGTAACTAATATGTATCTTGTGGGAAATACTTTGAGACTGCAAAGGTCCTGTCTCTTGTCGTACTTTCTCCTACTACATTTAATATTCATCAGTAGTTCTTACTGGCAACAATTTGCTCAGTGTGATTTTCTATTCTCATCATTTCTTCTTTGTTTCGTGTTTAGGATTCTATTATAAGGAATAACAGCCCCTTCATTCCCATTTATTTATTCCAGTAGTATGATTATTTATTTTGTTCCTCAAATTGTTCCAACTTTGGCTCTTAGGAATTCCTTCAGGGTAGTTCCTGTATTCTTTCAGCATGTGCTTATCAGTTTTTTTGAGCATTTGATTACTTTTTGGTACTACAAAAGATTTTAGGTTTGTCTTGTGTCTTCTTTGCCCAACCTTAGAATCAATCATTCACTTCTCTCTGGTCCCTTTTGCAGGTGAATGGTTTTTAGAAACCCAGTTTTGGGCACTAGGTATGCTCATTACTACCAAGATGTCATTGTTTCTAAGCCCAAAGAACAAAGCATTTTTCATAAATTTCTTCTCCCAAGACTCTGTGTTCCTTTCCATCTTGTACTTACAGGTACAATTGTTACTTGGTTGTGATTCGTGTATAGTTTACTTTTTTCTCCTCTATTACTTTTATTTCCTTAGACATTTCCTATGTAAACAGTGGCATTTAAAAATAGCTAATTTGAAGATGATATAGTGCTGATCTGTTTTATTGGCTTAATCATTCCTTTTTATTGTTTTTTATCTTTAAGTTAATGTGTAGTTAGCATTATCTTTGTGCAAATAACCACTTTTTTGGAAAATTGCTTGTGATACAGTCCTAAAAGCGGGATCACTATGTTACGTGACAGTTCTGTGGCTCTTAAAAATACAGTTGAGTGAGTTATTTGAAATCTTAAACTGGAAGCTGTTGAAGAAGAAATTGCTCCTCAAAAGTGATCACATTTTTACATTTTTAAAAGACTGAATTAGTAACTCTACCACATAATTTTTTTTTTTTTTTTGAGACAGAGTCTTGCTCTGTTGCCCAGGTTGGAGTGCAGTTGGCATGATTTCAGCTTACTGCAACCTCCGCCTCCCGGGTTCAAGTGATTCTCCTGCCTCGGCCTCCCAAGTAGCTGGGATTACAGGCGCACACTACCACGCCTGGCTAATTTTTATATTTTTGGTAGAGATGGGGTTTTACCATGTTGGTCAGGCTAGTCTCAAACTCCTGACCTCATGATCTACCTGCCTCCCAAAGTGCTGGGATTACAGGTGTGAGCCACCATGCCCTGCCCATAATTTTTTTATATATATTTAAAAGTGTACATAAATTGATCATTTGAATTTATTTATTTATTTGTTTTTTAGACAGAATCTTGCTGTATTGCCAAGGCTGGAGAGCAGTGGTGCCATCTCGGCTCACCGCACCCTCTGCTTCCTGGGTTCAAGTGATTCTCCTGCCTCAGCCTCCCTAGTAGCTAGAATTACAGGTGCGCACCACCATGCCCAGCTAATTTTTGTATTTTTAGTAGAGATGGGGTTTCCCCACGTTGACCAGGCTGGTCATCTCTAACTCCTGACCTCAAGTGATCTGCCTGCTTCAGCCTCCCGAAGTGCTGGGATTACAGACATGCACCACCTTGGCCAGCCACAATGATTTGAGTGGGTCAGAATTTAAGTTCTCTTTAGAGACTTTAAGATAAAGTCTTTTTGTACCTCTTCTTTATGTCTGAGATTAGCCTATCTGCTATACTCTCTAGGAGAATTTAAATAGTATTTAAATTGTTGTTTGCAGTAACAAAAACCTGAGGAAGAAAGTTGATATAGGTATTTCCTAAATAGCCAATGACTTGGTACAGGATAAAAAAACATTGTATTAAATTTCTGTCCAAGGAGAAGAAATATCAGGCTCTGATATAAGTGGATCAGAGGAAGATGATGATGAAGAGGGTGAGGTTGGAGAAGATGGAGAGAAAAGGAAAAAAAGAAAGGGTAAGTTCTGTTTAGTATTCTAATTTGTAGAAATCAACTAGGTGGTTTCACAAGGTTAGAGTGCATGACTTTTATTTTGCTGATATCTATTTGTTTAATATATTAGATAACAATTATCTAATTGTTATGATAACAATTAGAACAGAAGATGTATACCATTTACTTGGTTAACTTTGCATTTTTTTCTCCTGTTTTGATCTGTTTATAGCTGACTTTGAATACATGTTGTTTTTTTTAGAATTTAGAATTGTAAGACTATAATAGTGGGTATGCCATTTTAAAATTTCATGTGAGTTTTAATTTTATGTAGGGCCTTACATCTGTGTCAGGAACCTAAGTGTTTTAAGGAAATTAGGATAATGTGGAATTTTTCCACAAACAAGATTAGTCCTTAAAAGTCACTAATTTTTAAATAGTAAATTTGTTTGAGGAATTCCATTTTTAAATTTAATTCTTTTTCTTTATAAAATGTATTCTCATTCTCACCCTGTCGTGGGGCATTTGTTGCCAAGTGTGAATTAAGTCTGTTGTGATTAGAATTCAGATAATATGCAAATGAAATGGACATATTATAATGGCCTACATTTCAAACCTTTTTACCATAAATATTTATTTCAGAACTCTCTTCCATTAATGTGGTCATTGTTTTCAAGCTGTTGCATATTTTGCTTGTCTTATTAAAATGATTGTGCTGAAAATAAACCCATCACTGCTTGATTAGGAGTCCCAAATTTAAAAACTATAAAGATTTTGTAACTTCAAAAGACAGGAAAATAATGATTTAGAGCAAGAATTGTCAAAATGTCTGCTGGCTAAATCCAGCTCACCACCTGTTTTTGTAAATAAAATTTTATTGAAACAGCCATACTCATTTGTTTACATATGTGGCTGCTTTCACATGAAGCCACATGGCCTACAAAGTCTCAAACACTTGTCTGTCCTTTTGCAGAAAATGTTTGCCTGATTTAGAGAAATTTTTTTTGCTCACACCTAGTTTTTCACAGAGTAGATTATTCTTTTCTAAGCTAAAGCAGGTTACAGATTTGTTAAAAAATAAAATTTTAAATAGAAAAATACTACTGTTTAATATGTTGAAATATTTAATGGTAATATATCTTTCTTATAGGCTTAGAAATTTAAAAATTTTCAGTGGGCCTTTTGAAAGTTTTGCTGTCAAAACTTAAACACATTTGATAGTTTGTTATTTTGGGGGAAAGAGACCGAAAGTGGAGACAGACTAACCTGTCTATAATGAAGGGTAATTTAACATTCCTATAATATTTATTGTGTATGAATTTAAGTTTTGAAACTCCATACCTTTAACTTATCAACCTAAATAGTTTTAATAGACTAAAATGTCACCAAATGACTTACTTATTTTTTATTCTTATCGTTTCAAACCTCTAAATGATTAGGCTTTAGGTGACTAGTAGGATTTGCCCTCAGTAGTTGCTTAAAGCAGTATACTTTGTAATGCCTCTCTATGGCTTCGTAAAGTAGATATTGAATAAACTACCAAGACTTGTTTTTAGGGAAAGTAAATTTTGGTTCTTTAATACAAAGCTTGATTGTCCTTTAAATTTTTTTCTCTGGAACTGAATTTTTCTCTGTGTATGTGTTCATTTTCTTGTTCCCTCTTTCTTTGGTTCCCGTTGGGCTCATTTCTTTGTTTTCCAGGCAGTAGCAGCAGCAGTAGTTCAGACTCCACATGTTCTGTCATAGAGAAACCTCTGGATAAGTTCTTGCCTAGTGAGTGGTAGCTCTTACGTTCTCTAACAGAGCTTTGGCTTTTCCATAACACATGGGCTTCATTTGAGCAATGCTGCACCGCTCCCTGTCATTACCTACAGAATACATGTTGGATTCCTCAGTAGAACAAAGCATGTGATGATTCCTTCACCCCCTTTCATTGCTTCCAGTTAATCATAATTGTTAAAACATATGCTTTAGCTTATGTTTGAGACAATGGAAGAGAGATTCATGCTTTTGCAATTGAGATAATGTAAAGAGAGCTAGTAAGCTGTATAAAAGAATAATTCTCGTAGTTCTTTTTTAGGTTTCGTGATATATTTCTTATTCTGTTCAGTACAAGGGACACATGACATTAGATCTTAAATTTCTAAAAGTACAAATTATAGTTGGAAGTACACCAATGCCCATTATAACATGTCGTACAGTTATAAATATTTTACACTTTGGTGTCCTATTCTTAGTGGTAGCTTAAAGACTCCCAAATAAAAACGTGAAGCTTGAAGCAAGTAAAGATGAATTGAATAGTGTTTTATTTCAAATGGATATTTACCCATATTTCTAAATTACCTGATAGATTTTAAGAAATTTTCTAAGGTCTGATTAGAGAATGCAGGATCACGAGAAGATTATGCAGGATCCATCTAGACTTATTTCAAACTTAAACGCTTTTGTTAAAACCTAATTTAATCAAATTGCAAAGTGTTACCATTTTATTTTCAGAAGAAAGGGGAGTAGTGTTGTTTTCTTGTACCAGCCTGCAGCTTACTGTCTTTTAAAGCATTATCTATATACTTACCCTTCCAAAACTAATGACAAAGATAATTGCTTATTGTTCTTACGCTTTTAGCCTTCTAGAATAATTCCAAGAATATGAGAAGTCTTTTTCTTTATTTGTAGGCAGTTTGTAGGCAAGTTACCAAAACAATTCATTTCGAAGGATAATTTGTAAAATGCTTGAAATTGCATTAGAAACCACAAATATATATTCTAATGTATAATACCTCTTTGTGGTATTACTTTGTATAATACCACATAGAGGTATTACTTTGTATAATAAAGTGTGAAATACAAGAAAATATTTGAGTGGGAGGCATTGCAATTTAATTTTCTGTTTTAAAACTTAATAGTTATATGAAAGTATGTTATGAAATGAGTTGTACTTTGTTTAGTTCAAGAAGTTTTAATTCCTGTTAGCATACCTAGTACATAATGTTTTTTGTTGTAATGTGGGTGTGTTGATGAAGTAGAGAGGTGGTTGTCCCAGCATGTGGTTAGCTGTGTGTAACTTGTATGGACCCTCCCTTTTAAAAATATGAATAGCCTTGTTTAAAGGTGTTTCTTGCTTGAATGGTCAGTTGACACTGACTTATATAGAATCATTGTTATAATTACCCTTAACCATCTGCTAATAGAAGGAATGTAAATTTGTTATTATTCAGGTGTACTTCATTTTATGTAATAATTTTTTTTTCTGAAAAGAGAAAAAGCCCATAAATTCGGTTGGGAAATCAGATGTATTGAAAGAACTTGCCGTCTTTAAAAAGTCTTCATTAGACTTTCCTGTTAATTAAATAATCAGTAGAAATTACTATAATCTAATCTATCTGTTCGGTTCAGGTTTTTGTGTTAGATTTTCTTAAAGTGAGGCATGTCTATAATAGATCCTATACTAAAAGAAATATTGAATTGGGATGTTTTTGCTAGGGACAGTGTGAATTTTGTCACTTTAAACTTTCTAGTTGTTAAAATTGTCTTAATTTTCTGTTCTGCCCTTTTAGATTACTTCCCAGGTTTTAGCAGGTTCCTAATTTCATGTGTTGAACTCTGACCTTTGCAGGACTTGGGGAATCAGTGTGAGCTCTTGAGATTGACTTGAGTTATAATCTAAGACTAAGTTAACTTTATTATTCTTGCTTAAATTACATTTCTCATTGTGTTAAATATGCTTTCTTTTTATATGAGCTCTATTTCAGTTTTGATAATGATTTGATTCACTTCTACACTTAAACGAATGCTATTATATATTTTTCTTTGTTTTACCAAAGAAATAATATTTTCCTTTTTTTCTCCTCATCTCTGTGCATATGCTTCCTGTCTGCGATTTGCTTACTACTTCTTATTGCAAGATCAAGCAGGTTGGTGTGATTGATTTGCACTCCACATGGTATAATTATTTATCCTATAAATAACTTCATTTAAATATACTAAATTTTAAAAATTTAATAATTTTTGTTACCAGGTAAGTATCTATCTTTTGTATTTTTAGAAATCTTTCAACTTCAGCTTTTACAAAACACTTATTTTTTTCTAAATTCTTAAAGACCCATTAAACCAAATTTTGGAAATACAACTGTAAACTACTTCACATTCAAACATTTTTCTCCTTTTTTTTTTTTAAAGCCAAGAATTGAATGCCTGGTTTACCTATGCTGTGGGTGCTTAAGTAATAAAAATGAAATTAATTCAATTAGGTCTGCCCTAAAGTTCTTCCCTTTTAACTTACCCTGGCCAGTTCACATTCACAGTATTGGTTAGAGCACATGAGAAAGGGCAATAAAAATGTTACCAGTTATATCTGGCTTAATTAAATACTCTTATGGCATTAACTTTTAAAAATATTTATTTGCCTTACATTTTGTGCTGGATTTTATCATGCATTATTAGAAAAAGATTTCGTTTTTGTTTGATTGATTTGTCTAGTAAGGTTTTTTTTTTTTTTTTAAAGAAAAGTCTTTTAAAAAATACAGTAAAAGTGACTTTTAGTGATGTTGCATTTTTAAATACCTGGTTAGGAGAGTTAGCACATATTCACATTTAGCTTAAAATACTATTTTGGAAGAAATATAATGATTTGTCAGAGTGATTCTCGCTAAAGTAATATCTTAACTAAATATTAGGCTTTTGAAACTAACCCTGGCTATGTATCTTTGATTGTCTTCATGAAAGTGTTACAAGAGCACAATAAGGCTTTTGCTGCTAAAGTATCAGTTTGGAAACATCCCAGAATGGCTTTGAATTACTAATGTAATGTATTAATTCATCAACAGTTATGTGTCTTTGTATTTCTACATATAAAATCTTTTTATTAAGAAAATCTTTTTATTTTACCGTCTCTTAATGGGTTTTGAAACTGTTTTAACTATTAACAAAACAATTAGAACCCTCGAAGCTTGTACATATTACTGTTCATATGTTTATTAGATCATTTCCTCTATACTATTAGCATCAGTGTTTCATGTATTTATTATTTTTGTCATAACGTATTTCCCACTGTCTTTAAATATTTGTAATTCTGAATGGAAAGGAAGTTAACTTTTTAAAATGCATATACTTACTATATACCTGAAATGATACTTTTCTCCTTCAGATTTCTAAGACATAGTATAACTGATGGGAAGTACTTTGAGAATAGGAGTTAAATTCTTTTAAGTTATTTTTTAACAGCTAATTCAAAAGATTCAATTCTGATGACTGTGCCAAATAAGCCGATTAAATCAGTCTACCTCCTGACTTTTGGAATGCAATGAATCACACCACACCAAAGCATGAATTTGGATCAGTGCTTTTATTTACTCTTTTATTTCATTTGTCTCATGTCTTAGGTTTGTTTTTGACTTACAGTTCTGTAGAAATAATGTCTTTTAAACCCTGGAGTTTTTTTACATAATTTTGTTCTAAAGAGTTAAAGCCTATTAATGATTCTTCATCTCATGGTTCCTGAAAGAATATACTCTCAGTTATATATCTCCATCATAATTATTATTTTTCAGTTCTTTTTCCTCATTAGGTGGTAGGGAGTTAGCTTTTGGGTGGAGATATTAACAATTTGTAAACTCTTATGATTTACACTCTTCTTCTGTAGTTCTTTGGGAAGGAAGTTAAGAATGACAGAAAGCTTCCAGGAGAGCCTCAGACTAATTCTATGAAAAGTTTTATTAGTTTTCTGAAGGAATGCATGTTTCTAAGAAACTGTACAACCAGAAATGAATTGTCTTTGATTCAGTTTAATAACAAGTTTAATAAGCTAGTTTTATTTTCTCTTTTTTTCTTTCATTTGGATTTTGTAATTTTGAAATTCATTAATAAACTTTCATTTAGCACCTTTTATATGTATATAAAATACTTTATTAGACATCATTAGCAAAATAATTGGAAGCCATATTCCAGCTTTATTATTCGGTAGTATTTCTACCTATATTTGACAATTGGCATGTTTACTCTGACTTAGGGAACCTTCAGGTCCTGAGTTTGACATAATAACAAGCTATTTTAGCTGTTTCTTTAGCGTATGATGATAGATCATGACAGCTAGGCAACTGTGAAATGCTTGGTTAATTACCATGCATGTAACTGTTACATAATTACATAGTATATAATTTTTTCCTTTAAAAGTATGCTGTGAAATAAAATACTTTAATGTTATTAAACAAAAATTTTAGAAAAAACTGAAAAATATATTAAAACTACTTGATATAAATTCTGCCTGTTATTTTTATCTGTGTATTTTATACCTATATATGACTGTTATGCACTTATGTGAACTTGGGGAGGGTATTTTAAGGAATTGCTCGATTTTATACTTGGTTATTGGGAAAAAGTAACTGAAGAATCATGTTGTGTTTTTTTAACCTATATTTGTTATCCTGGGACATAATTTTTTTTTTTAATTTGGCTTTCCTGTTAATTTTTCTTTTTCTATTTTTTTAGCTCATTGTTTTGCTTTTCTTTCACTTTTGTTCTTAGTTACCATTGCACAGTTGGACAACAGTTTGAATTTGGCAATGAGTTAAAAAGTTCTAGGAACATAATAAATGGAAATGCATGTTATTATTGGTTTGATTTCCTTATAATATTGATAATTGTTTTTGTATTATTGAGGAGTATAGGCATTTCTATATTGAAGGAGGTAATTTATATAAGTCTGAAACATTGACTCATTTTAGTGATTTGTTGCAACTAAATGATTCAAATAGGTAAAAAGAAAGTCTCCCCAGATAAGATGATTGAAATGCAAGCAAAAATTGATGAGGAGAGAAAAGCACTTGAAACAAAGCTTGACATGGAAGAAGAAGAAAGAAACAAGGCTAGAGCTGAATTAGAGAAACGGGAAAAAGATCTTCTTAAAGCCCAGTGAGTATTATTGCATTGAGATGAATTTGTGATTTAAATTTCTATTTTTTCATAGGACATATAAATAGGAAAGTTGAATACTAATTAAAAGCTTGATTTTTGTCTCCAGTGTAGCTATTTTTTGATAAGTGTCCATTATATATAGTGTATTTCTAAAAACTAGATCTGTCTTGATTATTTCCATGTGATAGGAAAACATATTCATGAATTAGAATGAGTTATAGATTAAATTAGAAATTGATACTATACTGCGGTATAATTTGGTAGAGATGTTACATAATTATATTTCTATTTTTAAATTGTATATCCACATTTTTGTTAAATTTTGGGAAATGATATTAGTAGAATAATAGATGATCAGTGAATATAGAGTATTCTCATTCTAATCAATAGACAAGAACATCAGTCTTTGCTGGAAAAATTGTCTGCCCTGGAAAAGAAGGTAATTGTTGGTGGGGTTGATTTGTTGGCCAAAGCTGAGGAACAAGAGAAACTTCTTGAAGAATCTAACATGGAACTGGAAGAAAGGAGGAAAAGAGCAGAGCAACTTCGCAGAGAACTTGAGGAAAAAGAGGTAATGTGACTTTCTGTTTTTAGTTTGATATTTTGCCTGAGAGATCTAACTTTTCTAGTGGAAAGCTGTCTATCATCTTACTGAAATTTTAAAACATATTTATGGATTGCTTTGAAGATTAAGAGTTACTAAACATTTATATCATTTGTTAAAGAATTAGATATTTGATTTTACAGATAACATCTGAAGTTTACTAATTTTTTTCATAGCAAGAACGTTTGGATATTGAAGAAAAATATACCAGTTTGCAAGAGGAAGCACAGGGGAAGACCAAGAAATTAAAGAAAGTGTGGACTATGCTGATGGCTGCAAAGTCGGAGGTTGGTTCTTTTAGGAATTACCTACTAATGAATGTGGTTCTGAATTTTTTAAAAAGGAGTTCTTTGATTAAGAATTTATAAGTAATCATAGTCTGAACTTATAATTTAGAAGAAATAAGATATTTCTCCTTTATTTGCAATTTTTAATTTTAATCTATTAGGCTAAATTATTCTTTCCAACCTTAACAAATAGTGTAGAATAGATGCTGATAGTGTCACGCTGTTTATTGTTTTTATCAAAGAACTAGGTAAGCTCTCACAAGGCCTCTTAGACTAGTGTCCTGTGTGAGATGGAGCTGTTTTGTAGTTAAAGTCTTGTTTGTTCATAATGTTTTTATGGATTTTCTGGTAGATGGCTGATCTCCAACAAGAACATCAGAGGGAAATTGAGGGCCTACTGGAGAATATTCGGCAACTTAGCCGGGAGCTTCGACTTCAGATGCTTATTATTGATAACTTTATACCTCGGGATTATCAGGTAAAAAGGAAGTTCTCTGATCCAGATATTAGTCACTTGACTGGGATTAAGAAACAGGAATTATAATTTTGAATTTAATTGATGGTAAATACTTAATATTTCAGTTATTGATTGTACAATTTTCTTGAACAAATGCCATCACATTTCACTTTAGTTGTTAACTTTTCTTAATACATAATCTCTGAGTAACTAAGGATCTAAATGAGAATTTTTCAGCCTTTTAGACAAACTCCGATTCATATACATGCAATCAGAATCAAGGTGTAGGTTCCATTCCTACATTTAGCACCCATTATTATACAAGTAGAATAAATGGAGCCTTTATGCTACTTTTTCTCCCTGCTATGGTTGTGGATTCTTTCTGTGTGTGTGTATGTGGTAAAATATTGATAACATGAAATTTACCATTTTACGATTTTAAGTAAGCAGTTCAATGGCATTTAGTACATTCACATTGTTTTGCAACCCTCATTATGATTCATCTCCAGAATTTTTCATATTAGTATGATTTTAAAATCTCAGTCTGTATTTTTTTGTAATCCAGAATTTGTCTTTCCAGCACATTTTGGTAAACTTTAACATTATGATTTTCTTTTGTGGGGGAGACAGAGTCTCACTCTTTTGCCCAGGCTGGAGTGCAGTGGTGCAATTTCAGCTCACTGCAACCTCTGCCTCCCGGGTTTAAGCAATTCTCATGCCTCAGCCTCCTGAGTAGCTGGGATTACAGGCATGCACCACCATACCTGGCTAATTTTTTACTATTTAGTAGAGACGGGGTTTAGCCACATTGGTCAGGCTGGTGGTCTCAAATTCCTGAGCTCAGGTGATCTGTCCCTTTTGGCCTCCCAAAGTGCTGTGTTACAGACATGAACCACCGTGCCTGGCCAATTTTTAAAAAATCTGTTTTGAATCTCAATACAGATTTAAGAAATTTGTCTGAGGCCAGGCATAGTGGCTCAGGCCTGTAATCCCAGCACTTTGGGAGGCTGAGTCGGATGTATCACCTGAGGTCAGCAGTTCAAGACCAGCCTGGCCAACATGGTGAAACCCCACTCTACTAAAAATACAAAAAAATTATCTGAGCTTGGTGGTGGGCACCTGTAATCCCAGCTACTCGGGAGGCTGAGGCAGGAGAATCACTTGAGCCTGGGAGGTAGAAGTTGTGTTGAGCCGAGATCACTCCATTGCACTCCAGCCTGGGCAACAGAGCAAAACTCCATCTTAAAAAAAAAAAGAAAAGAAGTCTTAGGTGTTTTTTTTTTTTTTTAGTCTTAAGTACACGGAATTAATCTGGGGTTTATGGTACATTCTTCTTCTTGGTCCTTGGACCTGCTTTTATTTAGTTATTTTTTATTGAAATCACCCAAAACAAAAGCTAGGACCTAATGATAACCTACTTCTTTTTTTTTGAAACAGAATTTTACTCTTGTTGCCCAGGCTGGAGTGCAATGGTGTGATCTTGGCTCACTGCAACCTCTGCCTCCTGGATTCAAGCAATTCTCCTGCCTCAGCCTCCCAAGTAGCCGGGATTATAGGCATGTGCCACCAGGCCTGGCTAATTTTGTATTTTTAGAAGAGATGGGGTTTCACCGTGTTGGTCAGGCTCATCTCAAACTCCTGACCTCAGGTGATCCACCCACCTCAGCCTCCCAAAGTGTTAGGATTATAGGCATGAGCAACCACACCCAGCCCAGTAATAACCTACTTCTAATCAGTTTCCCTTTCCTTATTTCATTCCTTTGCCTCTTCCAACTCAGAGTAACCATTACCTGGATTCCCGAATTTCTTATTCTGTTGTTTTTTCATTTTCAGTTTTATTGTATCTACATGCATTCCTAAGAGATACATATTTTAGAATTTATAAAAAGATTATCGTATCAGTATATAATGTTTTGAGACTTAACTTTTATTAATGTTAAGATTTTAGTTTTATGACTTCAGTATTTTAAATGTCATTAAATATTAAAAATAAGCTTTCATTCTTTTAAAAGGAAATGATTGAAAACTACGTCCATTGGAATGAAGACATAGGAGAATGGCAACTAGTGAGTATTACCGTCATCCTTTCTTGTTATACTTAAAGAGTACTTCCTATGGGCTAGAAATTATACTGGCTACAGTGGGGAGGAAGGTGGTCCAGTGGATGAATCAGATGAGAATCCAGTAGGGCAGATAAGATTTTTTTTAATTATACATAATTAATTATAACATACAGATCATGGTCTGGGTGAAAATGGTCAGGGTCAGGGGCCATGTGGGACTGAGTGACCTCTGAGGCCCTTTCTGCCCCAACATTCAAGTGATGTTTTACTATTATAATATTAGGATATCTTGTTATTTGCCTAACTCACAGTATTGATTACTAATTAAGACGTTTCTCTCTTTCTCCCTTTTCTTTTTTTGAGAAATGTGTTGCCTACACGGGAAATAACATGAGGAAGCAAACCCCAGTACCTGATAAAAAGGAAAAAGATGTAAGAGTACTTTTTTAAAAAACACAAAACTATAATTGTTTCTTTATGGGAATGTGAGTCATCAACCTGATATCTGTTAATCAGCTCTTCTGAAAAATGGCCTTATCTTTTGGGAGTAAAGCCTCTAGGATGGGGTGATGGTTAGGGCAATTCTACTTACCATCGGTCTTGATGTCAGGCTTATTCACACCGTAAGAGTGGCATGGAGTCACTCTTTGGAGTCCTCCTTTCACTACCACTCTGGGTCATAGGGTTATGGGTAGAGACTAGAATGTGTCTTTCTTCCTCTTCAAAGCTAGTTCTAGTCCTGGATCAACAGGAAGAGGGAGCAGCTTTAAAAAAAAAAATAGCAGGCTGGGCACGGTGGCTCACGCCTGTAATCCCAACACTTTGGGAGGCCTAGGTGAGTGGATCATGAGGTCAAGAGATTGAGACCATCCTGGCCAACATGGTGAAACTCCATCTCTACTGAAAATACAACAGTTAGCTGGGTGTGGTGGCACGTGCCTGTAATCCCAGCTACTCAGGAGGCTGAGGCAGGAGAATCACTTGAACCCAGGAGGCAGAGGTTGCAGTGAGCCGAGATCATGCATCTACACTCCAGCCTGAGCCTGAGTGACAGAGCAAGACTCTGTCTCAAACAAACAAACAAACAAAAAAAACAGCAATAGTTTTTATGTCCAAGGAATTTTATAGTGTGTCAGGGCTTCTTACTCAGCAACCTTTGGTGAGTAGATACTGGGATTAGAAGATGATATCATTAGACATTTCTTTTGTTTTATCATCTGTGGTATTTTTCTGGGAGTTTACTCGGTATTTTAAATCTTCCCTCAAATGTGGTTTAACTTTCCCATAAGAGTTCTTTGTGTTTCTTTCTTTTACTTAGCCCTTTGAAGTAGACCTTTCTCACGTGTATCTCGCCTATACTGAGGAGAGTCTCCGTCAGTCTTTGATGAAACTAGAAAGACCACGAACTTCAAAGGGGAAAGCAAGGCCAAAGACAGGGAGAAGGTAAGGACTGTCCTTGAATCTCATAAAATGAAGGCATTGAGGTATTCTAATTAAATACATATATAAGAAATTAAAATTTATTTTGTTAACATGATACATATTTTGGCTGATTTATTAAAAATCAAATTCCTGGTGACGCACAGTGGCTCACGCCTGTAATCCCAACACTTTGGGATTCCAAGGCAGGTGGATCATGAGGTTAGGAGTTTAAGACCAGCCTGGCTAACATGGTGAAACCCTATCTCTACTAAAAATACAAAAATTAGCCAGGCATGGTGGTGCACACTTGTAATCCCAGCTACTCAGGAGGCTGAGGCAGGAGAATTGCTTAAACCCAGGAATCAGAGATTGCAGATAGCTGAGATTGCACCTCTACACTCCAGCCTGGGCAACAAAGCACAACTTGGTCTCAAAAAAAAAAAAAAAAATCAAATTCCTTGTGTATTAGAATTTGAGTAAATAAAATGTGGCCGAAGAATTAAGGTCTTCCAACTTCTTAGGCTCCTGCATAATAGAACTTATTTTTATTTCACTCTATTATTTTTAAATGTATAATGAATTTAATTTCTTAATTCTTAGACTAATTCTTTTTATGAAATGCTAATTAATTTGCCTGTTTGGTCTCCCAAGGTATTGTAGTCAGCTGGTTAGTTTTTCTGTCATAGTGCCCCAAGAACCTTGATTTCCTCAGTCACCAGCTAAGGAAAACTTCTCTGGACATTTGCCCCTCTCCTTTGGGTACTGGTTTTGACTGTTGGGTAGTCTGCATGTATCATCACATAAGCTCAGGGAAATCAGGATGTGGGAGTGCTGGGCTGGAGCTTATTTTTTTTCCTCTCCCTTTCCTGCATCAAGGACTGTTCAGTTTATTTAAGCTGATTTAAGACTCTGGGGCTCCTAAAATGCAGAAAATAATAAGCTGCTTTTTTCCATACTTTGAGTGCATGGACTTTCAAGTTACATATGGGATTAGGTTGTATGGTTTTGACAATTTTATGCTACATAATCTGATAGACATGACTTAACACTTATAAATTTGGGATGGTTGAACTCAGAGTTGGGCAGGAAGTTGCATATTAAAAATGTACAAATTTTTACATTCTTTAGCATTAGGTAAGGGGTTAAAAACTTTTCTATGCCAACACATGCCGTGCATATTATACAAATGAATGAAGTAAATCAGTTCTAAGAAACACGAGTCCCTTTAGATGTATTGTTTACTTTTCCACTTTTAATAAAATGACAGTGCAACTGTGATGACAAATGGTGAGACATTTGGCCTCAATGTAGGAGAAAAATTGGCAGTGGTGGGGACTGGGGCAAACTGTAGAGCAGTTGTGTCTAAAGTGAGTGGCTGCTATTCTCTTCCTAGTTATCTATGGAAACAGAGGGCTCATTGTTTCTGATTCTTCTCTCTCTCTCTTTTTTTTTTGAGATGGAGTCTTGCTCTGTTGCCCAGGGTGGAGTGCAGTGGTGTGATCTTTGCTCACTGCAACCTTAACCTCCTGGGATTAAGCAGTTCTCCTGCCTCAGCCTCCTGAGTAGCTGAGATTAGCACCTGCCAACACACCCGGCTGATTTTTATATTTTTAGTAGAGATGGGGTTTTGCCATGTTGACCAGGCTGGTCTTGAACCCCTGAGCTCAGGTGATCTGCCCGCTTCAGCCTCCCAATGTGCTAGGATTACAGGTATCAGCCGCTGTGCCCAGCCTGGATCTTCTCTTTTCTGAGGAGAAGCCAGAAATTTGAATTATTTACTTGAGATCCCTTAATTTGAGTTACTTTTTTTTTTTAACTGTGTGGACCTAAAGCAAATGAGTAAGATATTTGAATACATTTTTCAGAACACCCATTTTAAGATGTCATTTTTTTAGTTTATCATAAAAAAAAGTGTGGCTCCACATTATATGAGCCAAACTCACCATCTCTGTGTCCTGGAATTGGCCTGCTGTAACCATGGAAACCCTGAGAAAATGATAGCCATAAACATGGACAAATATATGTATTAAATGGTTTATTGATGTTATATTACATTATATGATATGTTCAGTGTGATGTTCCTCATTAGAAACACATGTTAGATGGGCTGGGCAAAATTGCAATAAATATGATACATTAATATAACATTTCCATAAGTCCCTACATAAACATGTGTGAGGTGTTGCCTGAGATGATTTGTTTCTGATTTCCTCTGAATCCACTTGCACCTTTTGAGTACCTCTGAAGAGGTACCAGTGGGTTCAAATCTGGCAAGCATGCAGCTCACTTGGCCTGGCCACATGACCTAGTCCAGTCTTGGAAGTTATCACCTGTCCTATCCCTCACTACTCTGGCATAATAGGGTGGGCTACCATCTTCTAGCACTTACTCTAAGTCAGCTTCCTGTATCCTGAAAAGATGAGCATTAATTGAACACTTACTGTGGTCAAACATGTCAAATATTGGCTTGTTTCCAGACTCTATACAGACCACCCCACATTTTCTACTATATAATGTAAAGTGTTTGCATTTCAGTCTTTTAGGAAAGCATTCATGCTTGCTTTTTTCTTTTCCAACCAGAAAGCGTTCTGCAAAGCCTGAAACTGTAATTGACTCTTTGCTGCAGTAAATGTTACAGACTTAAAGTCACAATAAAAATTAATGATACTCTCATGCCTGGACAAAATCTTTAATTAAAACACTGAAGACTTCTCTTATAATTTTAAATAATGGAAGCTGTAGATCAGTGAATAAGACCGGAAATAGTAATTTGCCTAATAACTTTTAGTCTACATATATTAATGTAACATATTAAAATTGTACAACTGGTGATTGTTCAATTTGTCATACTACTACTCTTCAATTGTACTATGAGGGAAGTTGGGGGAGCAGTTCATACTATAGAGAGCTACAGTTTAGATGTGTGTATAAATTGGTTAACTGAACTACTGTATATTTAGATAACTAGAATTTCAAAATAGAAACTGTGTCTTTTTTTGCACATAGAAGCAGATCAGATTGTCCTGTGTTGCACTGTTGTATATGAATGTTTGAACTGCATATCTAAGAAATGACTCCTTTACTTACTAACCCACCCGGCCTGTTTAAGCACATTCTAATTTTCTGACATTCGTTGCATTTTAAGTATGAGATGACTGATCTTATTAATATTCGGTAGAAAATTTTATAATTCAACAATCCTTACAAGTATACATACCTTTTAAAAAGTTGAAAATGTTTCATCTGGATCTTTCCTAATTTTCTTGCCAGTTTGAGTTCAAATCAAATACACCTTATGTTCTGGTTTCATATTCTCTTGAAACATTGAATTGTACCTAAATATAAAGGATCTACTGTTGCAGAAAATTAGGAAGCTAAATACCGGTCAGTTATCTTTGCCTGCATGTTTACTTTTAAAAATTCACTTTGAAGTGTAACTTATGGATGCTTCTCTTTGAATTCTAAATTTTGGTGGGAATTACTTTATATCTCCCAGTTGTGAAGGGTCTCTATTTTCCAGAAAATGCAGCTAAGCAAGAAAAATATCTTTTAAATACTTAGCCTTTAAAACACTTATTTTGTTTTTATATTTTAAAAATGAAATATTCTTTTCTGAATTTCTTCTACTGAGTAATCCAGTTAGACCATATTCCTCTACAAATAAAAATTATGTTCATTTCATAGTAAAGTTAAGTTGTAATAGATAGAATTATTTTTTCTGTTGTTTGCTGCTTATGAAATTTTTATTTATTTTTTTAAGTTAGGCTACTCCTGGCTGGGCATGGTGGATCACTTGAGGTCAGGAGTTTGAGACCAGGCTGGCCAACATGGTGAAACCCCGTCTCTACTACAAATATAATAAATAATTAGCTGGGCGTGGTAGCATGAGCCTGTGATCCTAGCTACTTGGGAGGCTGAGGCAGGAGAACTGCTTGAACCTGGGAGGCGGAGGTTGCAGTGAGATGGTACCGCTGCACTCCAGCCTGGGTAATAGAGTGAGACTCCATCTCAAAAAATTAATACAAAGTTATGCTACTCCTAAACCACTTCATATATGTTTTGTGGTTTTCAAAATTATGTAATTAGCCCTGAAACACATTGGTTGAAAATATTTTGAGACTTTATAAGTTAGTATTTATTAAATATTATTTTAATAAGTTTTGTTAAATCCTATTTTAAATTACAAAGCTGTGTACAGAGTAGGGGTGAGTGAAGGTGGAGTACTGTTGAGGTGTGATTAAAATGTATCCATAAATTTAAAGTCCATTCCATAATTGGAATACTGAATGTCCTGTGTGTGCTGAACATTTTCTAAGTGATTAGAATTGCATTTCACTGAAAGCATTTCTTTGTGGTATGTAAGATAGTTAGAAGTTTACTACTTAACTCTGTGGGGCATTGTTTAGGTACTATGAAGGGTTGAGGTAAATATGTGTCTTGTAAAAATTTGTGTGATCAGAATATTTTGGTAATTATGAAACGTTTTGATGATGCACATATAACTGCTAGTAATTACTCTAAAGAAATGTTAATTTTACCAGTTGAAAAAAAAACAGTGCTTCTTTTTAAAAGTTCATGTTTCTAACCTTTTACAATTCAGCTAACAGGAAAGGAGTAACTTTTAAATCAAGCTTTAAAACATGGAAATTTAAGCCAGTATGTTAGATAATTTATATCCCACCCTACCGTGATAACAAAAAGAAATCTATAAAAAGTAAAAATAAAAGCCCATCTATAAAAAATCAGTTGAGTTCCTAAAGCAGGCTACTATAGCAGGGGTGTGTGTTTGTTTGGAGACAGTCTTCACTCGTTACCCAGGCTGGAGTGCAGTGGGATGATCTCAGCTCACTGCAGCCTCTGCCTCTTCGGCCTTCTGAGTTGCTGGGACTACAGCTGTATGCCACCACACCTGGCTAATTTTTGTATATTTTTGTAGAGACAAGGGTTTGCCATGTTACCCAGGCTGGTCTCGAACTTGTAGAGCTCAAGTGATCCACCTGTCTTAGCCACCCAAAGTGCTTTGATTTCAGGTGTGATTGTAGGCCTGAGCCACAATACCCGGCCTACTATAGCAGTTTTTTAAAAAGAAAGCATTATGTTAAAACTGATTATACCAGATGGACATTAAATATCCATCTCAGAAATACCAAAATTTGATATTCAAGCCTGGCCTGAATATCCATATGAAAATATGGGACACTGACTTTATTCATTTAGCTCCAGTGATAGCATTTCTGTGATTTCTTCACATCTACTGTGTCTTTGTCCACAAATGAAATATTTTGTAACTGCGGTGTTAATTTTGTGAAAGGATATAGATGAACACACTTGCTCATTATTTGAAATAAATATGCAGATTTAAAATGAGTGGCACATATATGTAAATTGGTTATTGAATGAGTATTCTCTTTTTACTTTTAAGAGTCATATTTATTTTATTAAAAGGAGCTTTGGTAGCTATTGGTTTATAGTATCTTCTTTAATAATCCTTACAATTACATATGCTAACAGGATGTTAAAATTATTATAGTATTTCCTATTTGTGTTTAGATTTTTATAAAGCATGAGACGAGTAATCAGGAGAGGGTTGCATCTCCACGTTTGCCTCATGAATAGAATCCATTTGACAAGCCATTTCATTTCCTTTCTTGAGAAAGGAATTTTTTTTTTTTTTTTTTTTTTTTGCTGCAAAAATTTAAGGTTATGTTGTGGGAGGGAGGGAGTGGTGCTACTTCATCTGTAACATATTTTAAAACTATGATTATGGTTTTTAGGTTGTTTTTTGTTTTGTTTCAGTTTCTTTTTAGTCTGTTTTTAATATCCTTCCCCTTAACTCTTACGGAAAGTCCTCCTTTTTCCTACAGGGCTGTGAATTAAGGAATGGGTAGCGTTTACATTTAAGTATGCCAGTGTCTACCCGATTTCCTAATGTATACATTTGTTTTCTTTTTAATTATTCTTTGTTCTTAAAAATACTAGCAGAAAACATAGATGTTTCTAGTGCCTTTGAACTTATACTGTAGTCTGACTAATGAATAACTTCAGTAGCATTACTATAATACTGTATACTGGCCAAAATTACTAATTTTACAGTTTGTTGCATCAATTACAAAAGCCACGCTTTCATTGTATTTTATGTATAAATTGTATTTGTTCAAATTGTATATATTGATATTGTATGTATACATGCAGCATGGTTAAATAAGAATAAAAATCTTTTACCTAATGCCTGTAGTAGTGGTCTGCTGCTTTTCTCAACTATCTTTGTGTTTACTTCCACCCTGATATGAACAAGCAGGTTCTTTGTGCTTGGCATCTCAATTTTGTGTGGTTAAGAGAGGCCTGTGTAGTTTCACACCCAGAAATTCTTAATGTTATGGATCTTTTAAGCAGAAATCATGAATCAAATCTTGGAGAGATGTTATTTATTTAAACTTCTAAGTTTGGGGTACATGTGAATGTTTGTTACATAGGTAAACACATGTCATGTGGGTTTGTTGTTCATATTTCATCACCCAGGTATCAAGTCCAGTACCCAATAGTTATCTTTTCTGCCTGTCTCCCTTTTCCCACCTTCCCCCATCAAGTAGATCCCAGTATCTGTTGTTCCCTTCTTCATGTTCATAAGTTCTTAACATTTAGCCCTCACTTATAAGTGACAACATGGGGTATTTAGCTTAGCTCCTCTCCCCCAATTCCAGCTTACGTATTCCTGTATTAGTTTGCTCAGGGTAATAGCTTCCAGCTTTATCCATGTTCCTACAAAAGACATGATCTCATTCTTTTTTATGGTTGCATAATATTCCATTGTATATATCCACATTTTCTTTATCCAGTCTGTCATTAATGGACATTTAGGTTGATTCCATGGAGAAACGTTTTCATTTTATTTATTTATTTACAGACAGAGTTTTGCTCTTGTTGTCCAGGGTGGAGTGCAGTGGCACGATCTCAGCTCACCGCAAATTTCACCTCCTGGATTCAAACGATTTTCCTGCCTCAGCCTTCTGAGTAGATGGGATTACAGGCATACACCACCATACCTAGCTAATTTTGTATTTTTAGTAACGATGGGATTTCACCATGTTGTTCAGGCTGGTCTCGAACTTCTGACTTAAGGTGATCCATCTGCCCCATCCTCCCAAAGTGCTGGGATTACAGGTGTGAGCCACCATGATCAGCTTGAGAAACGTTTTTAAATGCACTGCTTCTCATTGATAAAATGTATTTTTCACCAAAAATACTTTTATCTGAGCTTTGTTATCCTTTTAATTAGGTATTTGAGAACATAAACCAATTCTCAGGTCATAACTTAAGTATGCATATAGAATGTATTCCATGAAAAGTACTGTTGCTTAGTGATAACAGTGCCATTATCTCATTTAGATTCTCTTCAGAAGCTTAAAGTATCTCCAAGACAATACCATTACCTGGGTTATTGTCAATCATATGTTCTTTTGACAAACATTGATTACCAGGCACTGTGATTGGCAGGCTTAAGAAATTCAAATTAGAAAATGGGAAATTTTGATTTGCCAACAAGTTTCAAAGGACTTTAAAATTTTTTAATTGACATGTAATAAGACGTATTATGAGGTATATTGTCGTATTTTGATGCATGCAATATATAACAATCAGATCAGGGTAATCAACATATACATCTTCTCAGACATTTATTATTTCCTTATGTTGTGATCACTCAGTATTTTCTAGCTATTTTAAAATATCGTTTACTATAGTCATTCTACAGTGCTATAAAAATACTAGACCTTGTATCTAGCTGTAATTTTGTGTCTCAAATGGCTTTCTTTTTAAGACAGGGTTTTACTCTATTCCCCAGGCTTGAGTGTGTGGTGTGTTCATAGCTCCCCAAAGTTCAATTACTTGAACTCCTGGGCTCAAGAAATCCTTCTGCCTCAGCCTCCTGAGTAACTAGGACTACAGGTGCATGCCCCCACACCTGGCTAATTTTTTATTTTATTTTATTTTATTTTGAGACAGAGTCTTGCTCTGTTGCCCAGGCTGGAGTGCAGTGTTGTGATCTCGGCTCCCTTCAACCTCCGTCTCCTGAGTTCAAGTGATTCTCCTGCCTCAGCCTCCCAAGTAGCTGGGACTACAGGCACGTGCCACCACACCTGGCTAATTTTTGTATTTTTAGTAGAGACAGGGTTTCAACATATTGGCCAGGTTGGTCTCGAACTCCTGACCTCATGATCTGTCCGCTTTGGCCTCCTAAAGCACTGGGATTATAGGTGTGAGCCACTTTACCTGGCATCAAGCAAGTTTTCAAAATGTCTTTTTTGTAGGGGTGGAAACTCCTCTGGCCATTCCAGGGTTATTATTCTCCCCCAATTCCAGCTTACATAAAACTCTTACCTGTGTGTAGAACGTGAAGACAAAATTAAAGGTCTTCCCTGGCATGTGCAAGACGATAAATAATGCTGCCTTTTCCCCACTTTGTCCCACTTCTCCAATTGAGTTCTGGAGCTATGATATCCAGTTCCATCAAGCAATACCACTGAGCCACTCCCTTACAAAACCTGTTACTGCCTGTGTTGTCGGGATGCTGCTGAAGACATTGCCCTATCATCTCGTTGAAGACTCGAGAAATTTCTTTTAAAGCTAAGTAGCAGATTATTATATCAGACTATTTTCTCTTTGCATATATAATAAGAGTGAGGTAAAATAATGTATTTTCCATTGTGCTTTCACTGATAGGACTATAACATCTGATGACCTGCTTGTAATCTTATTTTTCTCTGGGTCATCATTTCTTACTCCCTTTCTTGTTTGTCTAATAATGTTATTTTCTATCTTAATTTTTTCGAATAAATCACTTTGAATCCATTTTTAAAACAAGTCAGAGTACAAATAACTAAAGACCACTGTAAGCCTGTGGCTTACAGGAGGAGTTAACACAGTTCCAAAGCCACAGCCTAAACTTAAAGTGAGCTGGAGGAGCCTTCCAAACACATTTATTGTTATCTCAATTTCTCCTTCTTAAGCTGTTTCCTTTGCAAAGCAAATCAGGTATTCAGTCCTTTTTCGGAAGTTGAACAAATGTGTGGGAAAATGATTACGAAGAGGCTACTTCAAAGAGAACTGTTTCCTCTCAGCATTTATTTCCTGTGACCCAATCTTCAAGTGACTTTTATCAACGTTATCAGAACATCAGATTGTCTTACCCAAACACGTTTATGGCTCTAACTAAAGAATATGACAGATCAGACATTCCTCTCCACCTGCTCCCCTCCCCCATCCCTTTATAGAGGGTTGGGGAAATTTTAGTTTTTAATCAAAGGCTTTATTTCTCCAGTTGTGCAAAGGAATTTAACTGGGACTTTACAACTGAATAAAGTATGTCTCAGAGTAGATACTAATTTTAGCAAGAGGATATTGCCTAACCCAACCTAAAAGCAGGAGAGTCATTACAGAAATAATATGTTGGCCTTGATTTCTACTCCACTGTGAGTTTTGCCACTCATCAGGTATCCTTTTTTGTTTACTTTTAGAGACAGGGTCTCACTCTGTCACTTAGGTTGGAGTGCAGTGTCACAGTCATAGCTTACTATAACATCAAATTCTTAGGCTCAAATGGTCCTCCCACCTCAGCCTCCCAAATAGCTGGGACCACAGGTATCTGGCACTACATTTGGCTAATTTTTAAATTTTTTGTAGATATGGGAGCTTGCTACATTGCCCAGGTTGGTTTAGAACTTTTGGCCTCAAGCAGTCTTCCTGCCTTGGCCTCCCAAACTGCTGAGGTTACAGGTGTCAACCACTGTGCCCAGCATCTGGCCTGTTTTTAAGTGTCCCGGTTAAATTCCTTCACACAACTGGAGAAATAAAGCCTTTGATTAAAAACTAAAATTTCCCCAGCCCTCTAAAAAGGGCTGGGGCAGGGGAGCAGGTGGAGGGGAATGTCTGATCTGTCATATTCTTTAGTCAGAGCAATAGCCCATTATATGTGCACATCTCTTCTGTATTTACTGTGTACCTGCTCTGTGCTGAGAAGAATGTCTGCAAAACTCACTCTCAGGAAAGAGAGGTGGCCACGTGAGTGGAGAATGACTGCATAGCATGGTGAGGGCTGTGGTAAAAGAGGCTGCATGGGGAGCTGCCAGGTACGCATCCTTCCTGTGCAGCTGCCATGCCTGGCACATATCTGCCTGACCAAAGGGGCAGAAGAGACTTCTCAGGTGAAGTGCTGTTTGAGGTCTTAAGCAGTTCAACAGTTGGAGAAAGGCATTCCAGGAGTGAGTGAGTTTGGATGCCATGTGCATTGGTGGTATGCTTGAAGTAGAGCAAAAGGGGTGGGGGAAAATGAGGCTGAGAAAGAGATGGGACAGGATCCTATTTTGGAGTTTTCTGTAAGCAGTGGGAAGCCACAGAAGGATTTTAAGTGGGTCACTCACATTGTGTTTTGTGTCGTTTTAAGGCAGGGTCTCACTGTCACCCAGGCTGGAGTGCAGTGGTGTGATCAAGGCTCACTGCAGCCTCAACCTCCTGGGCTCAAGCAATCCTCCTGCCTCAGCTTCCCAATTAGCTGAGACTACAGGTGTGCAAAAATTAAATTTTTTTTTTTTTTTTTTTTGTAGAGACAGGATCTCCCTATGTTGCCCAGGCTGGTTCCAACTTTTGGGTTCAAGTGATACTCCTGTCTCAGCCTCCCAAAGTGGTGGGATTACAGGTGTGAGCCACTGCACTCAGTCTATTTGTGTTTTAGAAAAACAACTGCTGGAGAGATTGTGAAGGATTAGATGGAGGGAGCAAGATGGGGATGGTGGTTGGGAGAGCACATGCTATACACACCTGTGTCTTGGAGGTGGAAAGGATCATCAGCCAGAGTACTAGCCTCCCTCTCTTCTCAGCTGTTTCTCTTGCACTCGTGATTGCTATAAACTGAGGAAGGAAATTGTCTTCTCCTTATTCATGTTGCCTAGTAAATACCCAGGTTTGCAGTGAGCATACAAAACACCAAAACTCACTTTTGTTTGGCTTAACTCTGGCTAATCAGAAACTAGAAGGAGCAGAAAGCTTAGAGATTGAAGTTGGACCAGGAAGAAGTTGACAGGATGGATTAGAAGATAGGCACTTTAGGCCGGGCATGGTGGCTCACACCTGTAATCCCAGGACTTTGGGAGGCTGAGGGGGTGGATCACCTGAGAACAAGACCAGCCTGGCCAACATAGTGAAACCCCATCTACTAATACAAAAAATGAGCCAGGGGTGGTGGCAGGTAACTTTAATCCCAGCTACTCAGGAGGCTGAGGCAGGAGAATAGCTTGAACCTGGGAGGTGGAGGTTGCAGTGAGCTGAGATTGCACCACTGCACTCCAGTCTGGGTGACAGAGAGACTGTCTCAAAAAAAAAAAAAAGCACTTTAGAGAGCTGAGGAGAGGGATGTCTGGGTACTTAGGGCAAAAGCCCAGTTAAGGAAATGCCGGGCATGACAATTAACTGGGGATTTTAGTACTCCACCTGGGAATGGAACTCCAACTTGAGCTGATAAACTGAATCTAGAAAGCCCGAAGACCAGAGAAAGTGCCTACCTTGCTCACAGTGGAAGCTGCTAGAAACTGAGAAGCCAGCCCTGTGTGTCATGGGCGGCTGCAACAGCTCCATAAGAAAGTTCTGCATTGTACTTAGCCTTGAGATTCCCATCCTGAGATGATGTGGAGGAGAGGAGAGGAGAGAAAAACCAAGAGCAGGGTCAATGACATGGACAGACCGCCAGCAACAAGCGGGGTCCTCATGGCATTTGTAACAGAGGCCACCATCTTTTTCAATAAAAGACATACAGCCATGGATTTGAGCCAAATCATTTTTTGATTCATTTATCCAATAACTATTTATTACCTACTAGATGCCAGTTACAGATAGTTTATTCATTGGCAAAAGGTGGAGGTAGCTGATTGATAGCCAGGAGGGAAAGGTTCAGCCTTACTGTCAATGTCACATTCCAGGCGCAGGCAAGAGGCATGTCCCATGAAGCAGGCACGGACTGTGGCTGAGTTTGCTACATGAATGTGCTCCGATGACAATCATCTTAACTTTCACTTAATTCTGAAGTTTTTTCATTCACTCTTTGTATATGTATCCTCCTCAGTGTGTGTTCTCATTCTCTTTGGAAATTCAGAGTCTGGTTGTTGTATGTTTGCATCCGAGGCCAGGACTGCCTGTCTGGGAGGAAATGGGAATGTGAGTTGCATCTTGCCTGATTAAACTTATCTGATGACAGACCTGCCTAGAGTCTGCATGTGTCCTTTCCATGGCCTTCTCTAAATCTTCCTGACAGCCTTTCCTTTACCATCCTGGCCTCAAACACAAACTGTAACCCACCACTCATATCCTGTGGCAGACTACAGCTCACATTAGCCATTGAATGCAAATGAGCCTCAATCAAAAAAGAAAGGAAATTAAAATTTATAGCATGTGTCTTCTCCGATTGGCCTAAGAAGGCTCCATGACTCTTAGTTACTTATTGCCCTTGGCATGCTGGTATTTTATGTGGGCAGGGTGAAACTGGCTGTGGTCAGGGTGAGACTTGAAGCTTTTGATTTGTTCCCTTATTTTGAAAGGGTTAAAAAGATGTTACATGTTTTGGTGTAATTTTAGTACTAGTATTAATTTAGTCACATCTGCGTAAGTGAGGATGAAAGGAGTGCTCAATCACTGTTACTAGATCTATATTCTTGCAGAGAAAAAGTCTTCAAAAGGCAAGTTTTGATGACCCTTAGTTTTACTTCCCCTTTTAATTTCTTTTAAATATAGCTTTATTGAGATAGAATTCACATACTACCAAATTTATCCTTTTAAAACGTGTAATTCAGTTGTTTTTAGTATATTCATAGAATTTTGCAATCATCGCCACTATCTAATATCAGAACATTTTCATCACCCCAAAAGAAACCTACCCCTCATTATCAGTCACTCCTGATGCCTCTGTACCCTGTCCCCGACCCGCAGCCCATAGCAATCAATATTCTATTTTTGCCTCCATGGATTCTCCTGAATAATGCATATCAGTAGAATCATACCGTATGTGGTCTTCTGCGTGTGGCTTCTTTCTCATTACATACTGTTTCCAAGGTTCATCCATGTCATGGCCTGTGTCAGTACTACGTTTCTTTTTTTTGACAAATACTCCATTTTATGGATATGCCACATTCTGTTTATCCATCAGTTGATTGATATTTTGGTTGCATCTACTTTTTTTTTTTTCTCTTGAGACAGGGTCTTGCCCAGGCCTGGAATACAGTGGTGCAATCGTGGCTCATTGCAGCCTCAACCTGCCAGGCTCAAGCCATCCTCCCATCTCAGACTCCTCAGTAGCTGGGACTACAGGCATGTGCCACCATGCTCAGCTAATTTTTTGTAAAGACAGCGTTTTGCCATGTTGCCCAGGTTGGTCTTGAACTCCTGGCCTCAAGTGATCCTCCTGACTCGGCCTTCCAAAGTGCTGGGATTACAGGTGTGAGCCGCTGTGCCCAGCTGCTTCTACTTTGTTGCTGTATGAATAATGTTGCTATGAACATTTGTATAGAGGTTTTTGTGTGGCATGTGTTTCTAGTTCCCTTGGGTATATACCTAGGAGTGGAACTGCTGGGTCATAAACTATGTTTATCCTTTTGAGGCACTGCCAGTTGTTTTCCAAAGTGACTGTACCATTTTTCAATCACTCCAGCAAGGTAGGAGGGTTCCAGTTTTTCCATGTCTTCACCAACACTTACTGTCTTTTAAATGGTATTTCTTCATTAATTAAAAAACATTTCATTTATGCACATGGTAACACACACACACACACACACACACACACACACACACACACACAGACTTATAATGGAAAGCCAAAATTCTCCAGCCCTGTTTAGTCCAAGTCCCATTCCCAGCATTCCATCTTCCCTTTTTGTTTTTAGTTTTTCCAGTGACTACCATTATAATTCCAAAGATTTCTTGATTCATTTTTATTACTGTTTTTTCTTTTTATGATGAAAACTTTCAATTATGTAGAAAAGCAGAATAGTATAATCAACCCCTGTACACATCCCAGCCATCCCATGACCACTTTTACCAGCTGTTTTTTGCTTTATCCATGTTAGATATCATATATTCATTTCCCTATTGAAGAAAGAGAATTTGCCTAATTTATTCTACTACTTCCACATTTTTATAGTACATTTTATTTAGTTCTATTACCTTTGTAATTTTGATCAATCTCTAAATCTTGTGTTCTTATTCCATCCACCATAGACAGTATTATTTAACTGCCCCTTCTCCATGCAAGCTGGAGATAGCAGTGTCCACCTCTCTTTCTTTTCCTCTGCTTTCACCTCGCAGACATTTCCAACTATAGCTCTTATATTGTCTGGTGGAGAGCACTTTATAGTCTGTTCTCTAACCATCATCAGATCTTCTGTGCTTTGTATACTGGTTGGTTCTAAGACTTGAGAATCGAGATACTTTACATTATTGTGACTTTAAATATCATTCACTGTAGAGCCATGTGGTGTACTGAGGATTACTTTTTTCCATAGACTCAATATAACAGTCTTTGTGCCAAGGGGGGGAGAACATTCTGGATATCCAGTCGACACCTTTTCTGTTCAGAAACGTGGTAATCCATAGCACTCATGGACCCAAGCTGTCTTACCATTCACATCTGGCATGGCCTTGTATTCTTTAACTGTGTGTTATATCCCTGATTCCAGAGGGGGCTCCTCGAGGGGGACGTGATCTTTCCTGTTTTGCTCCCACACCATTTATAGTCTTCGGTAAATTAAATTGATTGCCATAAAAGTTACAAACCATAGTTTCATTTGTCAAGTAAACATAGTCAATACCATTAAATGCCATTGCTGTTAGATTCTGTATATATTTTATTTTATTATGAGTTATAAATATATAAATATTTTTAAAAATAAAGCTATAAAAAACTCATAAATTAAAATGTTCAGCTTCAACACTTTGAATATATCTCTTTCATGATCATCTTTAGCCTTTCCAAGAAGTCTTTCAACATAGTCTGGTCGGCTTCCTTCACAGGACAGGAGTTCTACGAAAGAAACATTTCATTAGCTTGCATTGGTAAGCATTTGTTCTCCCTGCCTGTCCACTTGGTCAAGCCTACTCTGGCACTTGCCACCTGAACACTTAATCAAACCAGGGCCTCCATTCTAACCTGACTAGGAGTTGTCTCTGTCACTAAGCCAGCAGGTTTTACCTGTTTTGGGTGCATTCTACTTATACTTCTAGACATGGTTACTGTATACCATTACCTATCTGCCTTCAGGGGTGTGGGGCGGGTGCAGTCTCTGGAGAAGTGTGTCACAGCACCTAGCTCAGAGGGTGTTATTGAAGATGCTGGCTCAGAGCTACCCAGGCATGGCTGCCTGGACTCTGAGAGAGATTCAGTCATGCAGCCCTCCTGCCCTTAAACAGCAGCCCTGAAGGCGAGAAGAACTCTAGATGCCACCAGACCACTGCTTAGTTTGCATCTCAGCTCTACCATTTATTAATCACACTGCTTAGGTCATACTACTTAATTTATAAAAGCTTCAGTTTCATTTGTAAAGTTGGGACAATTGTTTACTACTTGCCTGCTTCATAAGATAATGGAGATAATTAAGAGAGAATATGTGTTGTGCCAAGTTCCTATCCCATTACCTATTGCAATGTATACAAGGCAGTAGGCCCAAAGGGATGATACATGTCCTTGTTGTCCTCTAAAGCCAATTAATTCCTTTACTTGATGTTGGTTAACATCCACTCTGGGCCACAAGGACTTTTGCCCTCTAGTGATTCTCCCTCTTTTTCCGCTCCTCAGTTCTCCCTTCTCCACCTGACGGCCCATTCCCACGGTGCATGCTGGGTATACCCCCACCTTAAAAAGAGTTTCCCTCACTCCATAACCGCCCTGCAGCTGTGGTTCCATTTCTCTGCAGCCTTATAGCTAAACACCTTCAAAGTGTGTTCTTCCCTCACTGTTCCTTTTTTGGCTCCTCTTGCTGCCCCCACTCGGTGAGCCCTCTTCAAAGTCAGGCTTTCTTTCCTACCGATTTACATCAGCCTCACCCATGGCCTCCGTCAGCCAAACCCAGGGGCCTTTCTCGGTCCTCACCTGACCTGAACTTTTAGTACATTTGACACAGTCAACCTTCCCTCCTTGAGTGTCCTCACCAGCTTCCTGCAGTACTGCCCACTCTTCAGTGTTCTCCTGCCTCACTGGCCACTACTCCCCAGGCCCCTTGGCTGGATCCTTCTCTCCTGACCGCCATACGTTGGAGTGATCTCAGGCTCGGTCCTTGGATCTCTCCCTTTCTGTCATTCAGACTTGCAATAGCATCTATCTTAAGGACTCTTAATTTTATATTGCAACCTCTTCCCTAAGTTCCAGACTTCTCTAACCATCTTCTCAACACCTTCACTTGGCTATCCAACAGCCACCTTATATGTGCAATATACAAAATTGAACTCTTGATCTTCTGCTCAACCTCCAGCCCTGCCTTGCCCCGAGTCTTCAATCTCTCTGTAAACAGTACCAACTATCTCCAGAGAGGTCTGGGAGGAATGAACAGGTCATCTTTTCCTCCTCTGTTTCTTACCCCTTACAACAGATCTGTCAGCAGATCCTTCTGGCTCTATTTTTAGTGACATCCCAAATCTGTTCACCTCTACTGCTCCCACCCTGTCCATACCACCAGCGTCTCTAGCCTGGTTTACTGTGGTAGCCTCCCAGCAGGCCGGTTTGCTTCTGTGCTTTCCCCCTTTTCACCTATTTACCACGCAGTAGCCAGACTGACCATTTTAAATCATGTGAATCAGATACCACAGTCTTTGCCCTGCCCAAAAGCTCTGCAGGTGTTCCCTGCCATGCTTGTGGTAGAATCTAAAGGCCTTGTGTGATCTGCTGTCCTAGAAACTCCCCCTCACTCACTCTGATTCAGCCACACTGGCCTTCCTACTGATGTTTAAACACAGGAAGTTCATTTCCATCCTAAGGCCTTTGCGTAGCTCCTCCTTCTGCCTGGAATGATGTCTCCCCAGTTAATCACGTGGCCTGCTCCCTCACTTAATTCAAATATCTGCACGGATAATGTCACCAGCTCCTACGTCAGCCCCCTCCCCCATGACCCTTACGTTCTTTATTCCTATATATATTTTTGTAGCACTTATCACTACTGGGCATCATTTTACATGTTTGTTTTTCTAATTCTCCCACTAGAACATTCCATGAGAACAGGGACTTGGCCTGTGCATCATCTTTAATGACACGTCCTCAGCACCTAAAACAGCACGCAGCACTCATGGAGCTGCAGCAAATACTTATTAAACGAATGAATGAATGGGTTGACCAAAAGTGTTGCAGCTCCTGAGGAGGAGTGTTTAGAAATGAGGCTGCTGCAGCAGGAGCCACGCTGCCTGCTTCCTGGGCATGCAGTGCTGCTTACCAAGCCCGCCAGGCTGCAGAGGTTCCTGTCCAGCCGTTTTAGGGATCGGATCAGCTGCTTGTGACTGTGTAACTGCTGTGCAGTTGCACCCAGGCAGTGAGTGTCCTTCTCATGGTGGCTGTAGAACTGCCGGAGCACAGTCGCAGCCCTGCAGAAGGTTTCCTTCTCAGTTGTGTTCTAGAAAGACAAATGCCACAGATAGCCAGGTGCCAGCTCCATTTGGAGGATGGGAGAGAAATCTTTCCTCTTGATTTCTTCTTTCCAGGGGGACAAATGGAGGTGAGTTTGCTCCACTACAGACCCATCTTCAAGTATTCCACTGAAGGAAGGCTGCTTGCCACAGACATACACCTCTGTCAACAACCTCACCCAATTACTTGCAAACGCAGCAGCTGATTTTGCTGAACGGGTATCTGAATAAAGTCACCCCATGAGGGAAGGGCACAGTGGGGACTAGAATGCAGGACCATCTGTCATACAGCCCTGGTTCCGCATCCCTGTCTGTCTACCCTGGGAGCTATTTTTCTATGGAAAGTGCCCACATGAGCTCTCAGTCAGGTTCTGCTGTCGTTCCCAAAAGGGTTTAAAATCCAGCTTTCCCTGGAAATCCTGCATGCCTGATGAATAAATGAGCACACATCTTTTGGCCTGGACTCTGCTGCTTTGGGCAGCACTCTCCATTTGGCCCTCCCCGTGGGAGAGGAGAGCAGCACATGGAGCTAAGATATTTCCCCAGGCAGCAAGAGATAAGTGTGCAGTTCGGGGAAGGGTACCCGGGGAGATCAGGGTAGGCTCTGGGAGCGGGTGCCATTGAGCTGAGCCTTGGGCAGAGCTTCTATAAGGGGCCTTTTGGCCCCACATGGTGCAGAGTGAGAATCTCCTTGGAATGCCGGCAACTGTGAGGGTCTGGCCACATGGCTCTTCCTGGGGCCCTTAGCTTTAGAGGAGGGAATGGACACATAGGGAACAAGTCCTTGGGAACCCAGGAAAGGGATTGTGTCTCAGTCTGAACCGAGTCTGGTATGTCCTCTCATTTTCCACTGAAGAACAAAGATGCAGAACCTGGAGAGGGGTCTTAGCTTGAGCCCAGTTCCCTTATCCAGTTCAGACAAAGCTGTCTCCAGCCTCTGCCCGGACATGCTCTGGTTCCTTTCTACCCAAAGTGTGGTCCATGGACCAGCAGCATGGACATCACTGGGAGCTTATTAGGAATGCGGAATCTCAGACCACCCCTGTCCGGCCCAGACTCTCTGAGTCAGAAGAGCAGCGACAAGATCCTCAGAGTTTCTATCCTCAGCACTGTCCAAGCAGCTTTTTAGTTCTTACAGTTTTTTTTTTTTTTCTGATGATCAAGGTAATATATATTTACTATAAAGGTAATACATATTCAACAAAAATACATTCACTCATCCCACTAGCCAGAGGTAACTACTGTTAATATTTTGGTAAATATCATCACACTTTTAAAAATACTTTTTCCTTTTAAAATAGGGATCAACTGTCGACACTGTTTTGTAACTTTTTTACGCTTTACATATACCATAAGCTCTTCCTAAGGCCTTCAGTGGTGTTTAAGAGCATGGGATTGAGAGCTGCAGAGGAACACATGGCAGAGCTATACTGTCATTTGTCAGGCCCGTGTTGGAGCAGCTTTTTCTCCTGTAAGTAAGCGGCACTGAGTAAACGATATAAATCTTTGTGTTCATCTCTTATTTATGTAGGCTCGACTCTGGGAATGCAGTTTATATTTTAATGTTTTTTCCAGCAAGATCTAGACCCAGACTGAGGTACCAGAATCCCTGGTTACAGAAGCTTCCCCCTTTTCCTTCCCCTTCCCCCTGTGGGGCATGATGTCCATTGGCAGAGCGGTTGGAAGGACACTTACTTAATGAACTGAGAGTCCACTCCTGGTTCCTGATTCTAGTGGGAAATGTAAGAATGTGCCAGTATCTCTGTGCTGACAGAGCCAAGGAACAGACCTCTCTGGGCTCTGTGGGCCAAAGTGGAGAGGACATGGGCTGGGGGCAGACACTACCTGTGTGTCTAGAGCAGGGCAGACACCCATGCTACTGCAGAGGGAGCGGTGAGATTCAAGAAGGCCGAAGAGTCAGTGCTTTGCTGCTTTTCCCACAAACTTTGGGGAGATATTTTCTGAAATGTTGGCTTGGAGCCTAGAAATTAAACTTAATTTTGACCCATATGTGGCCACATAAGTATAGGAAAAAACCCTCTAAAGATGTTTTTCAAAGGACTTTCTAAAGGGAACGAGGATGAAATAAGAATTGAAAAGAGTCTGCATCAAATGGAAAAACTTTGGAAGAACGCATCCTAAGGGCAGTTTTAGTGGAAGGCCTTAATGTTTTCATGGCACTGGTATTACAGCGACAGGGTGACACTCCATCCTGTCCTGGCCCCAGACTGTTCCTACCTGCCTGTCTAGCTCTTGCTGCTGGGTGTGTCTGTCCCAGGGCAGTGCCTCAGGGGGAGCACTTTGACAGACCTCACAGTTCAGAACTGCTTAGGGAGTCACTCAGAAGAAGGGCCTGGGCCCACGCTGGAAGGAACTCTGTCCCTCCCGGGAATGTCAGGAAACAGCCACTTGGGAGATTTCTTCTGTGGCAGTGACTCCGTGAGAGTTCTAACTTGGTTCTTGACCAGCTTCACTGAGGACCATACAAATCCAGCCTGATTGGCACTGCATTCATTATCTCCTGTCCCGCCCAGCATAGTCAGCTGGGAAACTCCTTCAAAAACCGAGATATTTGAGGTTCATTATGGAACTCTCTGTAGAATTATGAACTTTAGCTCTCTTTGGTAAATAGGAAATACCTCCAACTACTTGTCCACCCAAGAAACCCTTCGTCAACCAGCCAGCTCGCTTCTTCCCACTTTGCTGTTCTTCAGACAGCCTTGACGTCACAGACACCTCGACAGGTGTTGCCTGTGAAGCCCAGGGCCTAGATCAGTGCCTTCTTTCCAGCAGCTGCCAAGAGTAGAATGCTGCCCAACTCAGAGATACTCCAATTCTTTAGTATAATACAATTAATAGGCTGAATTTTGGAAAGATGTTTTCTTTGGGAACACAAAGAAGTACATTTTCCTCTGCATAACACCTCTGTAGGCTTTGAAAATAGCAACATTTCACTTTCTGAAATATCTTAACATGTAAGTAAGCAGTGCTGAATCTTTGAGGGGAAGAAAAGAGTGGAAGAGTGAGATTGTGAACTCCAGGCGGATGAAGTTCGGGGAAGGCGTATGAGACGGGTGAGAGCGAAGGCAGACAGTGGGATTGTTCTAGGAGATGTCTGTGTGTGTGGTGAGAGGGGTGAGTGAAGACTGAGTGAAGAGGGGAGTTAAGGACGGGAGGGCAGCGGTGTGTCCTGGCCTATGCCTGGGGGTCTTGTAGAAACAGCCCAGATGGGTCCCCCCAGGCTCAGCATCCTAGAGGGTTTGATCCTCTCCAACCTGGGCCCCTCCTTCTTAGAACCATCGCTTCTCTGCAACCTGTCTTTGCTTTTAATCAGAGTTATATCATCATCTCACAATAACACTTTCCACTAACTCAAGAGCTGGATTCCAATTAGCCCTACAATCACCTTCAGAATCACTTTCGTATCTTCACATGTGGAAACTGAGGTGCAGAGAGGTGTGAAGAGGTGCTGAAAGGTGGCCACACAGCTAGTCAGTGGCAAAGCTGGGGCCAAAACCACAGGCAGTCTCACCTCCAGGCCCTCACCCTTCCTCTAGGCCTGGCTTCTAGTGAGCTGGCGCTTCCCTTGGCTTTGTGAGAGCCTTCTCAGCAGTAGGCCTCCAGAGACCCAGGCTCAACCCAGTGGGCTCTTGGATACTAGTAGGAGCCATCTCGGTTGGAAAGACTTGGAGATTTTAGATAGATAGATAAATAGATTATATATATATAAATATCAAACATTTATATATATATATACACACACACCTATATTTTATATATATATATATATATATTGCTACCAAGGTGTGGTGGCTAATCCCAACACTTTGAGTGACCTAGGTGGGCAGATCGCTTGAGTTCAGGACTTTGAGACAAGCCTGGGCAAAATGGCAAGACCCCATCTCTACAAAAAATACAAAAATTAGCTGGGCATGGTGGTGCACACCCATCGTTCCAGCTACTTGGGAGGCTGAGGCAGGAGAATTGCTTGAGCCCAGGAAGTGGAGGCTGCTGTGAACTGAAATTGCACTACTCACTCCAGCCTGGGTGGCAGAACAAGACCCTATCTCAGAAAAAAAAAAGTGTGCATTTGTCCTTCAGAATCTCATCCTGTATCAGACTCTTGGGATAACCTTTAATGAAATGAGATAATCTAGATAAAGGCCTGAGGAGCAGTGTTCCTCATGGAGCAGGATGGGCCGTGTTCTATGGCCTGGGTGCCAGGGTATGGCCCTGCCCAGCCCACAGGGCTTCATCGCTCGGAAAGCAGGTAGTTAGGAGACCACTGTTAAACTGAGGCTTTGGGGCTTTCATTCTCAGCCGTGTGTTTCCATGAAAACAGGAACTGAAGTGTGCAAAACTATTGATATGGCTATAGTCATGTGTTTGTCAGAGAAAATGCACTATCAGCTGTCACATCTATCTCCTCCCACTACAGATAGAGGGGTGGGGGTGAGGCAGCACAGGAGGCAGAGAGGTGAGATGCCCAGGCAGCCCGAAGCAGGGATATGTTGGACGCCGCCCAGCAGGGTGGTTCTGGACCGGGCTGGAGGACAGTTTGGCCAACCAGAGCAAGCTGAGGGGGTCTGGATAGCCAGCCCCGGAACCCAGTGGGCTGTTAGGTGGCCAGGCTGTGTAAGAGGAGGGGCTCTGGCAATACCTTTTCTGTTGCCATAGGAAGTCTCTTAGACAAAGTGAAAGCTCCCTCAACCTGTCATCTCAATATCTGTTTTTGTGAGGGTATTTGGTTTTTCAGAAATGTATGGGCCAGAAAAAGTCTCTTATTCAACAGACATTTATTGAGTGCCTTGTACATTCCAGGCACTATGCCAAAGCTAAGTAAAACCCAAGAAGGCTTTTCTTTGACCAGGATCTGAGTCAGGATTACAGTTTGTAAGCTTTCTGTTACACATCTTCTAAATCAAGTGAAACCAGAAAGACCAAAACATGCTTAAGAGTAAAGATCAGACTTCTCATTCTTTGAAAACATCTAACACCTTATAGTTAATTTGGGCCCGCTCGTTTTCCATTCAACAGGTTTCTTGTTCAGACACTTGGGGATGGCCGTCCCCATTTGCCAAAACAGACTGTGGGACGGCTTCTTACCTTGGAGGCAGCAAAGATGTCCATTATGGTCAACTTGGTGCACAGAGTCTTGGTCCAGGCAGAAATGAGAGAGCAAGAGACAGAGTTAACCTCCAACTGGACAGAGCAGTCCTTGATGAGCACATCTCACTCCCTCCAACTGAGAAAACTTCCTACAAACTCTCAGATAAACAGTGTCAGGGGATAAGTCTCCCTATGCTCCCCTGGCTGCCACTGACCACCAGTTCCAACTTCTCTAGCAGCTGTTGGGTTTTCATGGCCTAGAAATACCGACAGCATCATCAGAACATCTGGAGAGATGGTGCCAGATAGGTACTCACCTTTTGCTCTGTGACAATGTTCAAAGTTTTGATGATCTCCTCTAAGGCGATATCGCAGTTGTGTCCATGGACAAAGTTGCCGGCCCATGCTAACAGGAAGAACAGAGCGGGAAGCAGTTGGGAGGTGAGACCCATTAATAGGTGTCAATCTGCAGTGACAATGTGAGACAATTAGTTTATCAGGAGAAGCTAACAATGCTATGCTCTGACAAAGATATCTCTATATATAGATTTAAAATTGCTGAAACCGAGGGAAAATGAGTTTACATTGGAAATTTTCGTTACACCAGATTGTCAGTCATTTGGGGCCAGTCAGCACCTCTCTTCCAGGAGAAAAAATGCCTCACAAACAGGTAAAATGTTCCTGTGAAATCAGACCAATAGGAAAATGAAACCTTTTTTAAAAAAATTAACTACAAAGTTTCAGCATAGGAAATTACACCATAATTTGCTCTTTAGATTAATCTTATCAGCTTGGGGCTGCTGCTGGCTTTTTACTTTGCATAGGAGGGAGAGGCCACAGGTGTCCGAATTTGTCGTAGTGCAGTTCTCCTGGGGAAAGATAGAGTAATATCAAGAAAGTTTGACTTGAAAAGTATTTTAACCTGGCTTCTTCCAAGTATGGGTGGCATCTTAGAAACTGTTCTGTCATGGAAAAGCTAATCTGGGCTCCTTCTCTGCGTAGAGGGAGAATAACAGGCATAGACTCTCTGCCCCAGCACTGGAGCATAATGTTCTCCCAAGTTTAGGTGTTTGAAGGAGGAGGACAGGTCACATCAGGTGAGGCCTAGCTTGGGTCCAGCAGGTCCATAAGGTTCTAACCCATAAGCAAGGTAAGTCTGTTCCGAGGTTTCAGGAATACCTTTTTTTTTTTTTCCTGAGATAGGGTCTCATTCTGTCACCCAGGCTGGAGTGCAGTGATAATCATAGCTCACTGCAGTCTCAAACTCCTGGGCTCAAGGCATCCTCCAGCCTCAGCCTCCTGAGTAGCTGGGATTACATGCACATGCCACCATGCATGGCTAATTTTTGTATTTATTTATTTATTTTTTTGTAGAGACAGGGTTTCACCATGTTGGCCAGGCTGGTGTCAAACTCCTGGCCTCAAAGTGATCCACCCGCTTCAGCCTCCCAAAGTGCTGGGATTATAGGTGTGAGCCACCGTGCCCGGCCAAGGTTTTGCCTCTGTTTTGGATATTTTCTTCCCTTATTATTATTAATATTAAGTTGACAAATATTGCACATATTTATGGTATATGATATAATGTTTTAAAATGTGCATACATTATGGAATTGCTACATCAAGCTAATTAACATATATAGTACCTCACATACTTACACTTACTTATTTTTGGTAAGAACATTTAAACTCAACTTTTTTGTGATTTATTTATTTATTTATTTTTGAGATGGAGTCTCACTCTGTTGCCCAGACTGGAGTGCAAAGGCACAATCTTGGCTCACTGCAACCTCCACACCCTGGGTTCAAGCGATTCTCCTGCCTCAGCCTCCAGAGTAGCTGGGATTACAGGCATGTGCCACTAAGCCTGACAAATTTTTTGTATTTTTAGGAGAGATGAGGTTTCACCATGTTGGCCAGGCTGGTCTCGAACTCATTACCTCAGTTGATCCACCCACCTCAGCCTCCCAAGTTGCTGATTACAGGTGTGAGCCGCCTTACCTGGCCTCTCTTCATTTTTAAGTGTACGGGATATGGTTATCAACTGTTGTCAGCATGTTGTACAATGGCTCTCTTGAACTTATTCCCTCCAACTGAAATTGTATATCCTTTGACCAATATCTTCCTGATCACCACCCTCCTAGCCCCTGGTGACCATCATCCTACTCACTGCCTCCCTGAGCCCTGAGTTCAGCTTTTTTAGATTTCACGTATGGGTGAGATCATGTGGTATTTGTCTGTCTGTGCCTGGCTTTTTTCACTTAGCATAATGTCCTCTAGGTTCATCCATGTTGTTAGAAATGACAGGATTTCCTTCTTTTTTAAGGCTGCATAGTATTTCACTGTGTGTGTGCATGTGTATGTGTGTGTATGTGTGAGTGTGTGTGTATGTGTGTGTAGAGAGAGAGCTCTCTATATATAGAGCTTTGGATCTTATTGCAGTGTCTCAAGTTCTGTGAAGGAGAAAATCTGGATAATTGTATCAGAAAGGTCCTTAGACCATATTTAGGATCCTTCCATTAGGACCAGGCAACGAGGTTACCAAACTAAATGCAGTGGCTTCAGATGCCAAACCACCTGAGATGAGCCAAACCTCACAGGTGAGGGGTACGGTCCCCCACAACACTGCCCTCGCTCCAGATACCAGTTGTGCATTCAGGTGTCCCCAGCCTACCTCCACTGCTGACTGACTGGCTGCAAATCTGAGAGTTACCACTACCCCTCATGTTCCATAATTCACTAGGATGACTGACAGAACTCAGGAGAGTGCTGGACATAAGGCCACAATTTTATCATCGCAAAAGCATTCTGATCGGAACCAGGCAAAATAGGAAACACAGGGGTGAGATGGCGAGGGGCCCAAACACAAAGCTCTTGTGGTCTTCCCCATGTATCGTCAGAGGCATCACCCTCTCAGCACCTTGATGTGTGACAAAATGCTGAGTATTTCCAAGTAGGGAGGTTACCTGAGCTTTGGGGTCCACAGTTTTTATTCTAGGTGTGGTTGATGGACTCATTGGCTACTGGGTTGAACTCATATTTCAGGTCCACCTCAGGAGGCCAGGCTGATATCACAGAATCTCAGTGGCGTGGCCAGCCCCTCCACAGTTTTATTGTCATAAAAAACTACTTAGGGCCCACCATGAGTCACTTCACTCACATAAACTCTTGGACCCTCTATGAATAACAAGATACTCCTGTCACTTGAGAAATCCCTAGGAATTTCAGCCTATCTCCTGGGAATTGCTGACAAGAACCAGCCACATTCTTTCTTTACTCCAAGGGTTTGTAGCTGGTGGGACTTCCCAGGAACCAGGACAAAGGCCAGACTTCTTGGGTAGAGTTTAATTCTTCACTTCATAGACTGGGGAGAGTTATGAGAAGAGCAGGTGGTTGCTTCCACAGCAGGTGGAGACTTTGAATCCAATGAACTATTATGTAGAATGAAGTAGAGTGGCAGTTCCAGTTAACACGGGGGTAAGTGCGTCAAGCTGCAGACTCACTGGAGGGCTTCTGCCAAATAGGTTCTCAAGGAGAGTTGGGGTGCAAAAGGGGCTAGTGCAGAGGGCAGGGTTCTGGAGTGTCTGGGGGACAGTGGAACAGCCATTTATGTGTCCAGCTGGTGTTTTTCTAGGCATCCACTAAAGGACGGACACTGGGCTTGAGGCTCTGGGGGCAGAACTGGTGAATGAAAAGGGAATATTAGGTGGGTACCTTTAGCTCAGAAGCAGAATCCAGCTTGTTTTGTTTGTTTCAGTGGTGAAGTGAGGACTAAGATGAAAGGATAAACTGTCCAGAACATTAGAGAGTGACCAGAAGTCTCCTCAGAGAGCAAAAAGAGAAGATAGGCCATCCTCCCCTGCAGGGACAGCACCACGGCAGCTGCAGGTGTGGCAGGTGGGTAGTGATCGGGAAGGTGGGTGCCTGCACTGTCAGGGACAAAGAGGAGGGTGGTGGTCTCCACCTGCCGCGAAGGAGCCTCTGAGCCTGCAGGGTCATGGGCAGTGCCTGGGCAGGGTATGGTGGGATGGGCACCAAAGTGCAGGAGGGAGGTTGAAGACCGTGCAGTCTCTGAGTGTGTTGGACACAGGCCCCTCCTCCTCCCTTGTGTGAGAGCTGAGAACCAGCGCTGGCCCCTCCGTGGATGCAGAATTTTCCCTGCAGGCCCTGGAGCATAGCAGTTATGAGCTCGGGTTTGGAGTCCAGCAAATGAGCCTTTGTCAACTCTGTGACCATGGGTAGATCATTAGCTCTTTTTGGGTCTTAGTTTTCCCACCTGTGAAATGGGAATAATGTGGCTCTTCCTTGTGAGGAGCAAGTGAGTGGTTCCATGGAAAGTACTTGGCATGTGACATCCAGAAAGGGTGTCTGTTAACAGAGGCTGCTATAGCACACGGCGGCTAAGAGAGCAGACGCTGGGTCCAGGTGGTCCATCAGGCCTGGCTGCTGTGCCTCCTGGCTGAGTGAGCTTGGGCACTCTACTCAGCCTCATCTGTGAAATGGGGGTCATAACTGTCCCTGTCTCATGTGGTGGCTCTGAGGAATGACTACATTAAAGTTTTTAAGTATTTAGAATAGTGCCTGACACACAGTGAGTGCTATGATGATGATAATGATGACTCATATCTCGAGTTGCTGAAATGACTGATGCTTCATCTATTAGGCAAGCTTAAGTCTGGACAGGGCAGTGGAGGTCTGGCTGGATGGGCCTCCGTACAGGTTCCTCCTGGACCTGCCTCCTTCTTAGCCTTTGAATTGCTGTCCTTGTTTCTGGTGGGTCACAGTCCACACACTGCAGCCTGCCAGGGCATTCCCATGATACTAGATAGAAGGTGGCAAAGCAGGGCGCAGACTCCAGGTGTGAGAGAGGCCCAGAGAGGAGGAGCAGTGGTCAGCGGCAGCGATCATTGCAGGGAACAGACACTGCTGTGGGTGTTTTAGTCAGGAAAGGATTTCATGCAGGAAACTACACACTCATAAAAATGTCAGACAGGCTGGAGAGGCAGGCTCCAGGTGGGGCCCAGAACCCTAAAGACCTGACCCACTCGGCGAGCCACCCCTGAGGCTGCAGTGCTGGGATCCCAAAGCTGCTTCCTCCACCAACCTCCCACACAGTGAGCCGGCTCCAGGACACCCCCAGCCTGAAGGGCCAGGAAGATAGTATCTGCCACCCTCCCCTCCACAGCTGAACAGCCTTCGTCTAATTGGGGAAGTCAGAGGCTTGCTTCAAAGGAGTCAGAAACGTGGCACTCAGTTGGGAGAAAGGAATGCAGGTCACGCAATGCAGCCCAGTCTCCATGGGCCTCATCCATTGATTCTTGCTATCCCAGCCATCCCTGTGCTTTCCATCCCCCACAGGCTCGGTCTTGGAAAAAGGTGAGACTTCTCTGTGCACCTTAAGCAGCGTTAGGGATGAGCCAGCTTTAGCCAGGGGCAGGGGCTGCAGGGTGGGGTGAGTGTGGGCAGGGGACAGTGCATGGAAGGCCAGGGGGCATTGAAGAGATGGCTTCCCACAGGGGAGCATG